GCCATGGACACACATATAGACAACCACAAATTACACCCAAACTCACGAGAGAAATAAATGTAGACCATACACATATTTCTCCCGAAAAACCTAAAAAAATACTTTCAGGATTATAGAAGTTCATGCTAACATTATTTCGGGCAAATGTATTTTCGGTCTTCTGATTCGTAACCCCGAGCCGTAGAAAGAGTACAACAATATTTGAAAGTATTACTAACATGTATTAAAAATATTTTAATAATAACATTAGCATCAAAGCGACTCTATGAAATTTTTGTTCTAAATATTTGAAACGCTTGTGTTTGAAACAATTGAAATTGACGTGATGGGTCTCGTTCAGTCTTTTACGCAAGCAATGAGTCGGAAAGAGACAGTTAGCTATTTGATTATTTTGATTGCTTTTGTAATTTATATTTACGATTAATTTAAATATAAATTAAATACTAGTGCATAAACTAACACTTTTAAATGATAACTATGATAACACAATGTAGTACTTACTGAAAATATGATATACCATCCTGTTTTTTCACTTTAGTTGAGTAATTTTTACAAGGTTTTACCACACAATACGGCATCATTGACAAGCGCGCTGTCAGTCGAACAAACGAAGACTTAAGCGTGATTGACGCTCAGTTTACGATTTTAATGCCCTGTAAGTTCGAACACTTTTTAGCGCGGACCCGACGTCCATTTATTTGTAAGTCAATGCCTTTAGTATAAAGTTTTCCTTCACTATAGTTTTAAACCACGGAAATGGCAAATTTTAAACCGTCTTATTATAGAAGCTTATACATTACCCCTTAAAATGAATTTGTGATTTTGTGAAGACTGACGACTTTCAAGAATAGCTAGTTTATTATTATTCCTGGTGTTAATTTTGTCAGTCACTATTTTTAATGAAAAAGTTACTATTCTTCTTAACATAAATAACATTTTCGTAAATGTACAGTGATGCTAGTGTAAGAATGTTAATTTCTTTATACTTATCTCTCAAAGACGCTCTGACGCCCACATTATTGTAAATTGCCATAACTACAGGACATCGGCGGCATTACCCCAAAGCAAAATGCCGTATGTCATTAAACTGTGAAAGTAGGTGAACTAAAGCAATATTGAAATCAATAATAATATCAAAGAACCTAAAATTCATATTACTACCAACAGAACAAGGAAGTGGTCGGCTCGCAGCGGCATTACTGGACCACGGCGCGAGTACATGGGGTACCAGCAACGAAACTCATACAATATCGCCCCGACCGGTGAAGCGACTGGGACCTTTCAAACGTCCATTGACGACACACGCAGGCCCCCAAACCGCGCCCCCTGCAACGCAAATTACCCCTGCTCCCGTACCCCGACGAAATCGATGAACTCCACAGTAACCAACTCCTGTTACTTTGCAATCATTGACGTAGAAAATAAAGAGGTGTTCTATGGCGCCCTGACAAACTGGTCCTAGACTAGTAAGCATTTGTTTACAGGGCTTGAAAAATAGCTTTGATGAAAATTTGAATCAAGTGTATATGATCCTTCCGAGAAATAAAAGTGACTGCGCTAATGTCTGCATAGTAGTTGAACTTCTGGTAACATGACTGTTAGATTAAGAATAATAAAGGACTCTGTTCACAAAGTGTCAGTAGCCCGAATGTGCTAAATTCGTGAAAAGTAGTTGCGTGATTTTCTAATTAGACATGTCATCAGACAGTAAAGAAATTTTCATCACCTATTTTTGTAGAAAATTATTAGAATAAGATCAACGTTATCCGCTGAAGTGTATTGTGGTGCGATTATTAACTTAGAGTAACGAGTATGTTGAGCTTGTTGTATTTACGTATCAAACTGAAAATGCGATGTACAACTTTATTTTTCAGTAATTTTCTTTATTTTAAAGAATAATTTCTACTATTAATGTTTTTATTTTGTTCTATGAAAAAATGTGTAATAGTCATTTTAATTTCATTCGTCCAATGAGAGATTGTTATTCAGACTTAATATTCAAGTACTTAATTATTTATATAACCTTTTTTACCTATCTGTTTTGCATTTAAAATGTAATGTGGTTGATTGCACAGCAATTAGATTATATAACTTTTCCACAAACATAATCTGAGATTAAATTAGTCAAGTGTTGCAATAAATATTTATTGACAATTAAACAATAAATTTTGAACTCAAAATCAATTGCTATATAAACTTGCGCGAAAAAAAAGAAAAAAATATTTATCGTAAATAAAGAAAATTATGTCCTCTAACAACATAAAATGTGCACACAACCAACATATTAATATTTTCTGTACATATGTAAACTAGTTGTAAAGCTTTAACTGTTGTAGATTCGAACTTTTACCATAATAAATAACATATTTATTTGCGCAATTAACACTATGTATTAATTCGACAACATTTTTGAGCTATACAGTATTGATATAAGATCTAATTGTGCTCGATTTAGGATGTTATTATTAGGATTGTTACCCTTGGTAACGCCACTTTCGTAAAATCATAAATTCTGTCCTAAAGCAAGGAAATCATCCTCCACTAGTTTTCTATTGACATTAGTGGTTTAAAATTGAAATTGCATAAATGCTACATTCCATCTTACAATAATTCTTTTTTATGTATGGCACACTTCTGTAATGCTCTTGAGATTATCAAATTATATTGTTTTATAAATTATGTAGTTTAATATATTGCTTGCATTTAATATTATGAATACCTTTGACTAATTTTATTGCATTCCATTCAATGTAGTAATGATTATGTATTGTTTCTCAGTATACTTTAATTTTAACTTAATTTTTCTTGCTTTGTTCCCACTTTTAATTTTAAACAGTATTTTAATAGATGTTAAGACTGACACAAGATTATGTATTGAATTCACTAAGTATTAATTTATTTTAAATGTGGTGGTATTACTAAATAATTTATTTTAGCTAATTTATTAGTTATTGTTTTAGCCTAATTTGAATATAAGGCTTCTACATTTCTCAGATTATTAACCCACAGACATTGTATAATGTAACCAAATTTTTTTATTAAAAATAAAGTTTTGTTAACTTTATTTGGTAGTTTTAATTTGGATTTTTGAACATCAAAAAGTTCAGGTCATGATGTCAAAGTTTTTATTCAAAGTTAAAAACTATGCTTTAGGTAATTTGTACATTCCTCCTTGCAGGACAAGTTGGTGTGTCCTAACTTTAGTATCCAAGAATTGTCTAAGTTCCTGCAAACTACACTCTGCTCCTGGTGCTTGTGAAGCAAACATCTTCAACATCTGATGTATTCTATCTAGAGGCAAAGAATCTAAATTAGTCAACATTCCAACAATGTAAGACCAGAACACTTGCAGCTCTCCTTCTCTTTGATCATGTGCTGATGCCATAGCACTCTCAGTTTCATCATCCTCACAAATCATTTCCTGCACTTGATTTGTAGAGACATTAGCCTTATTTGCATTACTCCCATCCACAAGAACATAATAATCTGTGCTTTTTTCAGAAATTAGCCCCATCGATTGCCAGTAAGTTATCTTTCTCCTTAATACAGTTACAGGCACTTTCATCACCAGATGTAAATCCTCAAGAGACCATTCAGGTTTCTTTTCAAAGTGCATTATAAGTGTAGCATTGAATGGTGACACAGTCAAGTTTAACTTCTTTTCTCCAATTTCAATTTCAATATTCACATTACCAAGATGCGGTTTCCAACTCAATGTTCTGTTGCCCTTCAGTGCTTCAAAAGCCTTTGTGTATGCCTCAAAGTGCTTCTTGGTTTCCTCTGGTAGCTCCAAGCTTTCATCTTTGAATGGTGGCCAAAACTGAGCTGACAAAATCATAGCGTTTGATGTGAACTTCCTATTTAGCTGTTCAAAGTTGCTGTCTTGATGGATCAAGGAATTTATTCGTTTAGAATCTGATATGTCTTTCAACATTACTTCACAAAAGTGTAACTGTGACTCACCAAATCTCAGCTTCAGTAATTCCAAATATTTTATTTCTTTATTAGTGTTTATCACACTTTGAGCCAACAACCTGTCTGCCAACAATGTCCTGTATTCATTTACAAATAGTTCCTTACTGCCATAAACATTAACAAGCATTGATATTATATCACAAGATTTCCTATCACTTGAATTGACTTTTGGGTCAGCATCAACTGGGTCTGGATTCCATTCATCCCAAGCATCTTCCTTTTCTGCATCCCCATCTTCTGCTGCAAAATTTGCCAACTCCTCCGCAAGCTCACTGCCAGCATCTTCTGTTAAACTACTTACAACACTCCGAACTGTATCTTCTCTGTTTCTCAAATAATATCTGACAGGTTTAGTGACAGTTTCCAGTATAACTCCAGAAGGATCCAGGTGTCTCAAAGATCTGATCGTTGAAACATAAGCAGTCAGTATTTCGGGTGTGTTTACACCAGGATGCAACAACCTGGTTTCAAGAGCTGTTTGCAATTTCTTGCATAAGGTTGACCTCAAATCAGTCTTCTCTAAACACACTTTTATATCTTCAATAGCAGGCAGTGAATATGGGTATTCAATAATAATGCTAAACAGCTGATCTATCCTAATCAAAGTATAAGTGTGATACAAGAAGTAGCTCAACTTCTGTTTGAATTTATTAATAGCATTTTGAATGTTTTTATCATCAGGAGGTGGCTTTGACGAGCCTGCACAGTATATTCTTGTTAACCAAGACATAACAGTTGTGTTAAGCCAATCCTCCAGAGTACTAATATGACAATCATCAAAGGAACCTGCACTTAGCTTCTGGATATGAGATTCTATTCTTGTTTGTATAAAATTAGTTAATACTTGACCAGTCAATCTCTCTAGAAGCTGTAGCTCCATAAGTTTTCTATTGGTATCATGAAACACTTTGACAATGTAAGCACAGTTGCATTCTTGTACCAAGTTCTGACATCCCAGACACATAAAATTATCAACTGCATCCAAATTTTCATACTGATTGTCAAAAACGTTAAAAGAAAGCTTGTAAAAATGGTTTATAATAACATCAAAATTGAGAGGTAGTTGTGATAGTAATGTTGCTCGCACAAGCTGTTTTACGCCAGGAACAACATCTTTTTCGCCATACAGAAGCTTGTTATCAGCACAACTAGAGTTTAAAGTGGATAATCTTCGTAGGATGCCAGAAAAACTTGATAAACACTCGTAAAGGTCGTTAACAGCAGACTTAAAAAGTTGAAAACCTTTGAGTTCATCATCAACATTGGTAAATTTGGACCAAAACATTGGAGCCATATGCTGGCGCATGTACTTCTCCACGTGCACTAATATGAGGTCTCGTACTCGTATTTGGACACCCAGGTTAACGATAAGTTGTTGAATTTCGTCGTATTCCGCATCATTGCAATCCGTGAAAATCGTATCGTTTAGGATTGGAAAAGCGTAATTTATTTTGTTCCAATATATCTTCAGGTCTCCTTTCTTGTTAGACATTTTTTAAACCTTCGCAATAAGCTGATATTTATGATGATCGTTATAAAAATTATTAAAATCAGACAACTTTATTTTTAACCACTTTTTCACGAAGCGAAAATATTTTAAATCCTCTATCACTCCTCTATGGCGAAAACAGAGAAAAAAAACTTTATTTCATTTTTTCCATTGGAAAAGACAAAGGCACTAATGCGCCTTACAGCCAAGACTGAGTCAAAGTCAAATAATAGTTTACTCCATAGTAGGTAAAAATTTTACACTTGAAAACGTCATTTTTAAGCTACTTTTTAGGCTACTTGTCATAATATTAACTCTTTAGTTTCTAATGTCTATTTTGAACTTTACATTTGATAGTCTTTTAGTTCATTGTTGTCAAATATTTTCGTGGAATAAAACCGTTATTCTAAAGGTTTTATCTTATTTATCAATTTATTCCACGAAATGTTATCAGAATAAATAAAATGGAACGGTTTCTGCGTCCCGATAAACTGAACATTGATCCAACCGGTAATTCCGCCTCCAAGGAATGGGAGCACTGGAAGAGGACGTTCGAGAGTTTCTTATCGAACTTTACAAAAGAAACAGCTGGTATGAAAATAGACATACTTATAAACCACGTATCTCCAACAATCTTCGCATACATAAGTGAATGTACTACCTATGAAGAAGCCCTAGACATACTCGACAAACTATTCAATAAACCAAAAAATGTAGTCTATGCCAGGTATATACTAGCTACTAGGAGACAAAAGCACGATGAGAGCATTGATACTTATATGCAGGTGCTAAAATTATTAGCGAAAGATTGTCAATTTGGAAAGGTTGATGCTGAAACGAATAAATCCGATAATATTCGAGACGCATTTATTACTGGTCTCAATTCGAGTAAAATCAGGCAGCGATTGCTTGAAAATGTAACTCTATCTCTTGACAAAGCCTATGATCAGGCGAGATCGTTAGAAATGGCGGAGATGAATTCACAGAGTTACGAATCTTCAAATTTGAACGCTGTACAAGGTTCATCAAAGGAAGAAGAATCATCAGCAGCGTCTTTCTTCAAGCGAAAATGTTTCTTCTGTGGGGGTCGCGTGCATCCTAGAAAAGATTGTCCAGCACTCGACTCTACCTGTCAGATTTGTGAAAAAAAAGGACACTTAGCTAAAGTATGTCGTAGCAAGAAACAGACTGCTGCATCAGTAGTCGAAACTGAAAGTAATAAAACTAGTGCTTGTATAATAGCGGCATCGCCGGACTCGCTTAGAAAGGCTACTGTAACGGCGTACGTTCAAGGGATACGCGCCCAAGCATTAATCGATACAGGCAGCTCAATTAGTTTTATGGATGAGGAATTCTTTAATCTCTGTCGTTTAAAAAAGAAACCGAGTAACCAGAGAATTTCAATGGCTTCGACTACTCTTACTTCCAAAGTAGAGGGACAAACTAGCGTCTCTGCCAAAATTGGAGATTATGAGTACAAAAATCTGAATCTACTCATAGTAAAGAATTTATGCGCTGATCTCATCATTGGACATGATATTCTGCATCAACACTCTTCACTAGAGTTTTCTTTTGGTGGTTTGAAGGAACCTATCAAAGTTAATGTATGCAGTGTTGCTGCAGCTACCGTGCCTGCCGTACCACTGTTTTCTAATGTATGTCCTGAAATTAAGCCTGTTGCTATAAAATCGAGAAGACATAGTGAGGATGACAAAGAATTTATAAAAGAGGAAGTCAGGAAACTTTTGGCTGATGGAATAATCGAAGAAAGCACGTCCCCCTGGAGAGCTCAAGTCCTTATCACAAAAAATGTCAACCATAAGAAGCGTCTTGTCATCGATTATTCCCAAACTATAAACAGATATACTCATTTAGATGCGTACCCTCTACCAAACATAGAGGAGCTGGTGTCACAAATATCTAGATATCGTATATTTAGCGCTATAGATTTGCAAAGTGCTTATCATCAAGTTCCTATTTTGCTCGAAGAACGTCATTTTACGGCTTTTGAGGCTTTAGGAAATTTATACCAATTTCTCCGAATTCCATTTGGCGTTACAAACGGCGTCTCAAGTTTTCAAAGGACGATTGATTGGGTAATCCGAAAAGAAGATCTCAAGGGAACGTTCGCTTATCTTGATGATATTACAATTTGTGGCAAGACCCAGCTTGAACATGACAAAAATCTTAAGAAATTCTTGGCAGCTGCCCAGAAATATGGCCTCACTCTCAACAAAGAAAAGAGTAAGTTCTCACAAAACTCTATTAATATTCTGGGTTATAACATAGAAGACAACATTATCAAACCGGATGCAGACCGCTTGCGCCCACTTCTGAACTTACCACCACCATCTGATCTATCATCACTGAGAAGAGTGATAGGAATGTTTGCACACTATAGCAAGTGGATTCTAAATTTTTCAGAAAAAGTTCACGATCTTACTAATGCAAGGATATTTCCATTAAGCGACAATTTAGTCAAAAACTTCAATGTACTCAAATCAGATATAGCCAAATCAAGTATTCATGCAATTGATCATAACGCACCATTAACCGTGGAAACAGACGCGTCAGATCATTCTATCGCAGCGACTCTGTCACAGGCTTCTCGGCCTGTTGCCTTTTTCTCCAGAATGCTAAACAAAAGTGAACATAATCACTCGGCGATAGAAAAAGAAGCTTACGCTATCGTCGAATCGCTGAAGAAATGGCGTCATTTTCTTATCGGCAAACCCTTCCGGCTTATCACTGACCAAAGATCAGTATCTTTCATGTTTAACAATAAACTAACGAGCAAAATAAAGAATGAGAAAATACAACGCTGGCGTCTGGAGTTGGCGCCATTTAAGTATGACATTATATATCGTCCAGGCAAACAAAATGATGCAGCGGATGCACTCTCACGCGTATGCAGCTCAATATCGACACGAAATGAAAAGTTATATTCATTGCACAATGATTTATGTCATCCGGGCATGGCACGAATGACCCACTGGCTTAAATCAAAGAATCTACCATATTCTACGGAAGAAATTAAAAACATGACTAAGTCGTGTAAAATTTGCTCCGAAATAAAGCCAAGATTTTACAAACCTACAATTGATCCAGTTTTGATAAAAGCTACGTCGCCTATGGAGAGACTGAGTATCGATTTCAAAGGACCAGTACCTTCTAATACGAGAAATAAATACATTCTTACAGTAATAGACGAATACTCACGCTTTCCATTTGCATTTCCGTGCCCAGACATGAACTCTTCAACGGTAATCAAACATTTAAATGAAATTTTTATGCTATTCGGTATGCCGTCTTATCTACATTCAGATCGTGGAACCTGTTTCATATCTACTGAAGTAAAGAACTTCTTAAATTCACGTGGTATTGCGTCGAGCAGAACTACACCTTATAACCCAAGAGGAAATGGACAGGTTGAACGTTTTAACGGAACTCTTTGGAAATCAGTGCAATTGGCTCTACGGTCGCAGAACCTACCAATAGAAAATTGGGAAAAGGTTCTAAACCAAGCTTTACATTGTATCAGATCTTTGTTGTGCACAGCGACTTGTTGTACGCCGCACGAAAGAATGTTTACACATACCAGGCGGTCATCGAATGGAGTATCTATACCTACCTGGCTGACGGAATCAGAAAAAGTATTAATGAGAAAATTTAATCGTACTAACAAGTATCAACCTATTGTTGAAGAAGTGACTCTTCTGCACGTAAATCCAGACTACTCCTATGTTCGCTATGAGGACGGTCGAGAGACAACTGTTTCCAACCGACATTTAGCACCATTGAGCCTAGATAGTCAGATAATGGTAGATGAAACAACAAATATTGAGACTCTTAACGAAAACTCCAATGAAGTGGAAGACCCTAATCCTACATCTCAAAATTCTGAAACCAGATTTTCTGATTCCGAAAATGAGACTGAAGACATAGACCACCCTGAACCTCCAGCGGACACCGAACCAGAGATTCGAAGGTCTGCAAGAGTGCGACACCCACCAGCCCACCTCGAGGATTATTTTCAAGGCTGATAGAATGTCATAATATTAACTCTTTAGTTTCTAATGTCTATTTTGAACTTTACATTTGATAGTCTTTTAGTTCATTGTTGTCAAATATTTTCGTGGAATAAAACCGTTATTCTAAAGGTTTTATCTTATTTATCACTACTGCTCGTTCACTATGCTGACCTCCCTGAGAAGAACGAGGAAGAAACTCTAGGGATTGCTCTTTTCAAATAAACTTAACTGCTATGGAATACACTTTGAATCATAATTGTGTGGAATCTAGACTCTTTGTCTTTCCACACTTCTTTATCTAAAACATACTCTTTAATTTTGTAATATGACTTTTCAATTAAAATACTTTTAATGTAAAATCTTAATCTGTTACCCGGAATCTTATTGTAAAAACGTATACAGGTCCCCATAAAAGAATCGTTTACCTTAGTTAAACGAAAGTGGTACCATGAGTTTGAACTTAGTTCTAGGTTAATATTATGAATATCTTCTTTCTTAATTTTTGTAAGTCAATGTTTCTTAATGAAGTTATGTACATTTTTACGGGCATACAAAATGTTTGAGTAAATGTACTGCCATGCCACAGTCATAATAAAAACTCCTTAAACTTCTCTCTGAGAGAAACCCGAGAACTTATATGGTACACAACAAAGCACGATCGCACGTTTTTGCAACACAAATATAGTTTGTATATCTGCAGCTTTACCCCACATGAGAATCCCGTAGAACATTATACTATTGGAAGTAACTAAACTAGTCTAGCAGTAGCAACATTGGTAAGCTCATGTATTCTAGATATATGTGGAAACCATTGAAGTTTACTATCTGAGGTCACTCCCAAAAAGACAGCTTTATTAACAAAGTCAACGCCTACTTCCCGATATGGTGGAAATAAATATTTATATCGTTGTACGCTGATAGGCTCCAAAGCAAAGAATCAAATATGAGAGGACCTGAATATGGAAAATATGAAAGAGTGATCAACGGCCTGCAAAAACTATAATACATGGGGAGGATTTTTGTGCATTTTTATGAGATACACCTAGTCAATTTCCGCGGGAAGTAAAAATGTTCGAAATTCAAATAGACAAGATGGCCTCCATACAAATTTCAAAGCCTCCTATCACGGAAACTATTAGAGATAGGTAGGAGGTGCTCGAAGGAATATCATAGAGGGTAACACTGGTCAACTGCCTGGGTTAAAAAAAATTTAAGTCTTTAGGAGTCCTTAATCATATTTTGGGGTCAAAAATTTATTTTCGTCATTGTTTAATATAAATGTTTTTTCGTGAAAAATAACTGCTGAAAGAGATTTGCTCTTATTCAACTGAAAATTGGCATGTGAAGGCCACTAGACATGCGGATAATTTGTGCTCAAAATTTGTTTTTCGCTATTTTCAAATATGGCCGTCATAGAAGCGTTCATTGGCGGCAGAAAAAAAATTGCTCAGATCCCTTTGAAAATTGGCATATGGGGTCTCTAGGAGTGCTTGATAATAATTTGTAATCAAAATTGGTGGTTTTACGCTATTTTTAAATATGGCCGCCATACAAACTCTTTTAGCGGCAGATAAAAATTTGCACTAATTCGATTGAAAATGGACATGTCGGGGTCGTTATGAGCGTTTAAAATTTATTTTTCACTATTTTTCAATATGGCTACCATACAAAAAATGTAAGGCATACTTCCCGATGTAGTGGAAATGAGATACTTATTATAGCGTTGTTGTATCTCAACCATATCTGTTACATTCCACTTTCTTGAAAGCTATCTTTGGCATAACAAAGAGAAGTATTTAGGGGGGAAAATGCCAAACTACTGCCGAATTTCCTGTACTATGAATACGAAAACAACGATAATCCAGAATACTCAGACTTAGAAATGTTCGTTTCTTAAATTGGCCCAAATCGGGAATCGACCTCCTCATCAAGAGCCCATAGTACTAACTGCTGTGCCACCGAAGAGCATGAGCACACCCCGTAAACTGAACCCGACCACGCGCCGCAGTCCGAACCCGACCCCACCTACGGTGGGGTACAGGGCTCCTTTATTTCTATGATTGGACTAGTCGATTTTACATTAGATAATTCAAATTTAACACACTGCCTTCTTGGCATTGAGCAATAAATTGTTAATTTTAAACCAATAAACTACCTTTGAAAGGGTATCGTTAATATTATGAGGATCGTATCCCAACTCTACTCAATGCTCAAGTCAGGACTTGAGTATGATTTAAGGCACTCTGAAGTCCTTGCCATTAGGGTCGTATTTCTAGTTTCTTTCAACAACAACCTAGCATAAGGAATCAAATCATACAACAGCAAATAAAACACATTACAGCACATCAAGTTATGAAAGAGACTAAATATTTATTTAAATGCTTAGAACTGCCCTTAGTTTAATTATATTATTAGCTAAAATTTTAGAGAATTGGCTCTGGTTGCTGTGTGATGAGGAGTCCAAATCTCTTCTTGATAGTAATTCGTTGTCTGGAGTATTTATCTTCAGGGGAAAATCGAGCTGCAAAGAAAGGAGTAAGGTTAATAAAGATTACTAATTAGCAACATACAAAAGCCGCTAATGGTTTAACCTACTGCCTCTCAAGCAAAGACTGTGGGCTCGAATCGCACCTCTGAGTTTCCCAGAAATTGTTTCAAATTTAATTTGAAATTTACCATGAGCTTTCCATGAAGGAAAACATTGTGATGAAATCTACATGTCAAAGAATGTTCATAACCCTCAGAAAACGAATGAAGTCTCCAACCCGTACTGGACCAGCATGGTGCACTACGGCCCAAACCTTGGCCTGAGAGAAGACCCGTGCTCAGCAGTGAGACGTATAAATGGGTTGTTGATGATGATGAACATATACAAAAAAACCATCGTAAAAATAAACTATAATTCCTCACCTGGGTGAGCAGACAGTGTTGGCTTACCAAAAGGATCAATAGTCTGGAAACATTAAAACATCACATTTAAATACACACAAATGTATGTACCTATAGTTGAAGTATGCATATTGTTCAAAGAATATTATAATCACAGTTAAAGTTAAAATTATTATCTTTAGTAATACCACATGCTAAGATAAATTATTTTTGTGGTTGTTATTGAAAAGGTTAAGACCAATTAAAGTACTTACTGCTAGCGTATACTGTCTGTCGCCATTTTTGTCCAAATAATACCTTAGATACATTTTGGATTTGTGTATTTCCAACCAAATTCGTAAGAAAATAAACGAAAACAATTGTAACTTTAATTCAACGCCGCAGTTGGTCAGTTGGTCGCAACCACAGACTACTTAGTGATAGTCGCAACAGTAGTGTTGAGTTACTCAGACACGAGGCAACTCGTTTGTACCACTCGCTTGGTTATAGAGGTGGGTGATAAATAACGTCACGATGAAAAAATCACGATGATCCGCCGTCAAACAGAATTACCGTGACTCGTTCCGAATGAACGACGTTCCAAAGTCACTTAGGTGTTCCTCCGTTCCAATAGCTATCCCCGTCACTCACATCACGACATACGTATTTGATACAATGCGCGATCTCCATTCCGTGGTGACTGAACGCACCACTCGTTGTAGTTCTCTTCAAATCGGGCCATTTCGGCGGGGGTGTGATTGAAATAGGATGACTTTCTTTGCTCACTCACAAGGATCGTAGGTGCTTATACTACTATATTATATACTACTACTACTAGAAAGGGCGGATGAAAAAAATCTGCAGCAGTTATTATAAACCTATTTATGAGCAAAGTAAAATATTTTTGTATATTTGTTTTGTTATAGGAAGAGTTGGTATTTTATATTTATGTATAATCTATTTTGTGTATTCTACTACAAATATAATTACATTACACTTTATTGTTATTTTTAACAATCCAAAGATTCGCATTAAATAAGTAAGAAATAAAATTATATTCAATACAAAATCAACTTTTTGAATGGAATTGAAACTTATTACAAAGGGAGTAAAAACTTAAATCATTCTATACAAAACGGCTATAAGTATTAGAAAGAATCCGCTGGCTAAACCGTGTATCGTGATGTAAGTGATAGGCGTGACAAGGTCACGGAAGTAACAGTCGTGACAAAATCACGATGATTTATCACTGTGATTTTTTTGGAACCGGAACGACAGTCACGGCGATAGAAATGTAACGCTATTCCCCATGTTTACTTGGTTAGTCTGTCACAACACGTCATGTCATAAAAATGTCCCACCTCACACCCCACCTCATGTCATAGCCTCATGTCACAGCATCACTCATGTCACACTGTTTCGAATTCGAATGAATGAAAGAGCGCGTGCATTGAGGTATTCAGGTGAGGTACATGACAACGAGGAACTCGAGGGAGTGAGTAAGACAGCACGTCACTGTGACTTGTTTTAGCTCGTGAGCTCGTGTATGCTCACGAGCTAAAACACAAACTACAAAGTGTCAATGTCACTGTCCTATTCGAGCTTAACTTAATGCCGCCGCCGCCGCCGCCGCCGCCAGTTCATGAGTCTTTCACTGCGTTTTTTCGCTTGCTTTTTTTATATAAAACTTTTGTTGTAGATTCTCCTCTCAATAGGGAATCAGACAATTTTTCAGAAAGTGTCTAGAATTAACTAAAATAGATGTGTACAGACATGAAAAATAATATTTTATTAAAATAAAGCTTAATATTCTCTAAAATGTGCTAAAACTACGTTAAAATTTAAATAGGAACAAATTGGCGCGCAAACGTAACAAAATGTCAAATTGAACGCTTGACGTCATTTGTAGGTAAACAAGCTACGAAATCAAGGGCAAGGTGTTATTGTAAAGGTTTTGTGAAGTTTGAAGTCGTTATGGAACGGAAAACATATCGTTGGTGTGTAGTACCTCAAAGTAGGAATACTTCTATAACTGCCCCAAATAAACTATTTATTGATGTACCTCGAAAATCCGACATACGAAAAAAATGGTTGGTCCTAGCACGACGAAATATCTGTAAATTCTAAAAAATACGACCCTAATGGCAGGGACTTGAGTATGATTTCGAGTGCTTTAAGCCATACTCAAATCCTGACTTGAGCATTGAGTAGAGTTCTAGAATACGACTCTTAGTATGTTAAAATATGAGTGTATGAATGAATATACTAGATTCAAATACTGGAACTCAATTTGTACTACTTACAAATATATAATTTACACTATGATGAATATTGCATTTTACATTTTGTTTTTAAGTAAGTATCTATTAGGAATGAAACCTTACCAATATTACTTAGATATCTATTTACCTGAAGAATTATTATTTAATACTATAAACATTTGGAATCAGTTTATTTTCTAGTAATTTATTAATAGTATATAAAATATATAGTTTTGGTATTGAGGGATCCTGCGCTTTTTAGCTGATTTTACATCATATGATCATACACTACCATAGTACTTAATAAAATTAACATTTATTTATACTATATCATAACACTTAAGTTATCCAATTGATTGATACCATCAAATTATGGAAATTTGCTTAATATTCCCTGTTAATTGAATCGTTTCCGTAGTCACCCCATGTGAAGTAGGAAATGTCCTACTTCAAAGGAGGTGACTACAATGTTACTACCTCATTTTTTCAAATGAGTTACTCCCTCAAACTCATTTTAATTTTATGTCCTACAGCACTACGCAGCAATCGCATTGATATTTTTTTTTTGTGCAGAGTTTTATGGGCTGTGGTAGATTGGAGTCTGCGGTTGATTTAAAATTGATATACTGTTGGGTAGTTTTCCGAAAAATAGGAAAAATATTATTTCGGTTGCTCTGATTATGATCCGCGTATGCGTTTAGAAATATCTTTTGAAATTTTATACGTGAATAAACTTGTATAACTAAAAGCCACAAACATTGACCTAGTGGCCACAGAGATAAACGAGACCACAGACATATATTTAGAATATAAAAATTAGGCTCATAAACTTTTTTCTTTCAAACATGACGTATGATTGGATTTTTGCATTTTTGCAGATGTGTGTTTTCGAGTTATGTGCAACGTAGTGATTACATTATCTTTGTTGTGTGCAAGCTAGACTAAGGATGGAAAAACAATAGTCTAAGGGCTAGACTAGCGTTATGGGACGAGTTGTATTTTTTTAAGTTACTCTAGTTACTCTAGATATAAGCGGCTATAATAGATCAATCGGCAGCGACGCGCCGTCGAAAAATTATCGGCGGCCGTAGCACGAGCGCGACCATGAAACGAATTTGTATAACGGTGTTTGTTTTTACAAAAACCGTTCCAAACACTTTTTCAAAGGACAAAATAAAATAACGTATTTTCTATACTAATCAATTTTTTATCAGTTCGATTAGCGATGGAACGAGTAGTATTTGTATAAACTCGAGTTGACTTGACTGTCAACTCGAGTTAACTCGTCTCGGTGTTCGACAGAGCGCGAGCGCGCAGAACCGCGAGTCGTGAGCAGAACTCGTACCGAATGCTTCACCGAGTTGGACACGTTCGACCGGCCGACCGCGACTCGAGCGTGACCGAAGGTCACCGAACAGACCGAGCTAGCTCGAGTTCACGAAGTATAGCTTGAGTTGACTCGTTGTGGGAGTAACTCGAGTTAAATAACTCGACTCGCCCATCGCTCGCGACTCGAGCGTGCTTTGAAGGTCACCGATGAAATAAACTAATATTAACATAATCCAAGCATTTTTATTATATGCAGAAGACATTTACAGTGTCAATTATATCCATAGATCTACCAACCATAGTGTATATATATATATAACATTCGTCCATCCCTACAATTTACAACATCTCCTCGATAAGCCGCCGAGGTCGCCTGATGGTGCGCTCATGGCGCTTTGATGCTTGCTGTAGGGACGCCGTGGTAGGTGGCGAATGCGTAGTAGCAGCGCATGGCCGCATTGGGGTGGTAGCTGAGTTCTGCGTTCCTGACGAACTTGCAAGGGGTTCCACCTCACTGGTGTTTATATGATGCGGGTCGTGTGTGGCCTGAGAGCCATCAGTAGAAACTGGACTGATATGGTCGGCTAAGCGGGAACGCACTTGATCAGCATGATATCTCCTTTCTACCCCATTGGCTGTGTCTACGGTGTACGAGTATCTATGCGTACGTCTGGATATGGTAGCAGGTTCCCATCGTGACCCATCCCGGGCTCGGACAAACACGCTGTCCCCCGATCTAAAACATGGTGTTAAATTTTCTGAATTTATATTAGCCTGTATCTGCCTATGCTGCAGGGCCTTTTTAGAGTTAGGGCGTGCGTTATCCAAAATACAATGCAGCTGACGTCCGAACATAAGTTGTCCTGGGCTCTTACCGGTGGTGGAATGAGTTATGCGGTAGGAAAAAAGGAAATTTTCTAGTCGTCTTTTCAAGGTGAGATGGTCACTGGCACTTGATGATAGCCTGGATTTGAAAGTGCGAACCAGACGTTCAGCCAAACCGTTAGTCCGGGGATGGTACGGGGATGATTTAATGTGTAGAATACCCTTGTCTCTACAATAGTCTTGAAATTCCTGAGAAGTAAACTGTGGTCCATTGTCAGAAACCAAGAATTGAGGGAAGCCGAAGGTGGTGAAAATGGAATCTAACTCTTCACACAGTTTAGAAGTGGTTATCTGGTTCATGGGTTTAATTTCGACCCATTTCGAAAGCGCATCTGCTAAGACAAACCAATATTTTCCCTCGAACGGGCCTGCAAAATCAATGTGTAGCCTTTCCCACGGGTTGTCAGGAACGGACCACGAGTATATAGGCAATTCAGCGTTGTTCGGCCGATTCTCTTGGCATTTGCGACAACGTTTAATGTACTCCTCAATGTCATCGTCAATGGACGGCCACCATACGTAAAAACGTGCTAGCGCTCTCATTGCGGATATGCCTGGGTGTCCTGTATGCAGATATTCCAAGGTGGCCTTTCTCAGGGTGTTCGGTATTACTATTCGACCTTGCCACATTAATATCTTATTTTCAATGGACAACTCAGTGCGCTTCCGAGCATAGGGCTTTAAGTCATCTGAATAAAAATTTTCACGCCAGCCGGTCTTAATGTACTCTGATACCTGTTTAAGCAAAGGGTCCTTCCTTGTCGCGCCTCGTACACTGTCCTCTGTTAACGCAATATCCGAAACTCTTTCATGCTGCAACTGAGCTACCACTCTGTGTACTGTCAATTCTGCATTAGACGGTTTATCTTCTGGATTGGGCATCCTAGAAAGAAAATCAGCCATAAAATTTAGATGCCCTTTTGTAAAAACTATATCGTAGTCATACCCTCCAATGATTAAAGCCCAACGCACTAGACGGTTATTGACAATTTTCGGCAAGTTACGTTGTGGCCCCAAAACGTGAATCAATGGCTTATGATCAGTGCTAAGTATGAATTTGGTACCACGTAAATATTGATCAAACTTTTGGATTCCAAAAAATATTGCTAAAGCTTCTCGGTCAATAACTGAATATTTAGTTTCCGCTGGTCTTAGTTTCCTTGAAGCAAAAACGATAGGTTGAATTTTGTCTGCCGATTTATGATATAGGACGGCACCCACACCTTTTTCCGAGGCATCGCAGGCTAAATACAATGGGCGCTTTTCGTCAAAAGCAACAAGCGGTTTCGATTTACTAATAAGATCTTTTGCGTTCTTAAAACTCGTATTTTCTTTGACGGTCCATTGCCACTTCCGGCGACCACCAGTCAATGCATGCAGATCTGCGCAGACACTATGTAGGTGAGGAATAAATTTCTCGTAAAAATTTATAAGACCTAAGAACGACCGCAGTTCTTGGGCGTTAGTGGGCGGTGTCGCTTTCATTATTGCATCAATTTTCGATTTCGTCGGCCTAATTCCGTCTTTAGTAATTGTGTGCCCAAGGTATTCAATCTCTGTCTGGAAAAATGAACATTTCTTTAAATTGACTTTTAAGCCCGCCTTATCTAGTTTGCTAAACACGGTCGATAGTGTTTGGAGGTGTTCAATGTCATTTTTCCCTGTTAAGGCAATGTCGTCAAAATACACTGCGACATTTGGTACACCGTCCAAAAGTTCATCCAAGTAATGTTGGAAAATTGAAGGAGCTGTTGAGATTCCAAATGGCATCCTATTGTATTGATAATATCCTTTGTGCGTAGAGATTGTCAGGTACTGTTTCGACTCTGGAGCTATTTCAAATTGCAAGTACGCATCCCTTAAATCTATTTTCGAAAATTTGGCTCCATTTGCCAGATTTTGTCGTAGCTGGTCAAAGAGTGGGACTGGGTGAGAATGAGTGACAATAACAGGATTAATAGTGCTACGAAAATCACCGCAAATTCGGATTTGGCCATTTGTTTTTACGACATTCACTGTGGGTGTAGCCCATTCTAATGGCGTGACATTTGGATCAACTTTAGTCACGATTCCTTCGTCAACTAAACGTTGAAGTTCAATTTCTATGTTCTTACGCATGGAAAACTTAACTGGTCGAGCAGGGACATGTTTAGGTACTGCCCCAGGTTTTATATGAATGTTGACTTCATAATTTTTAACTTTTCCTAGTTTATTATCAAAAAGGGATGAAAAGGTTGAAAGTACCTGTTTAAGCGTAGTGGTGTGTTGAATGGGTTTAACCGAATAGACTGGCTCTGGGAATGTCATTTTATACATCTCGCTCCACTGGAGGCCAAAAAGCATTGGATTGGCGTCTTCCATAACCACAACAGGTAATATTTTCCGCTCTCCCATGATTTCAACGGTTACGTCGGTGAGACCTTTTGGTTTGAGCTTAAGGTTCCCATAAGCTCGTAGCTTCGGTGCCTTGGTTAGAGAGGGTTCTCCGATCCGCTTCCAGAAATTTGTGCTAATAATGGAGTACACGGATCCTGGGTCCCAATCGAATGTGCAACTGACACCGTTGACGGTTACATCAATTCTCTTGCTGTCCTTGTTTCTCTTGCGTTCAACCTTGAAGACATCATCACTTTCATCCGAACTCGTGTCAAAAGACTGTGATGAACTTCCATCATTGTGTGCATTGTACTTAATTTTATGCAGTTTGTTACTATAATTGGTTGGTTGTTTCTTTTCTGTCGCGGTGCTCGCTAAATATGCCCTACCAGACTTTATACAGCAACTTTCAAAATGACCTTGTATGTGGCATTCATCGCATGTATGGTCTTTTGCCTTGCAAACGTTTAGCCTATGTCTCTCTTGTGCACCACATCGACGGCACTGGTTTGGACTTAGTTTGCGTAGAAACGTACATTGTTTATAGTGACGTCCTGTACTTGTTCTTGCTTTTACTTTATTAGCGGTAGCGGGCATGCTACTATCAGCATCACCTTCTGCTAACTCTCTGGACTGAGCTACTGCAAAGAATTGATCGAAAGTAACCTCTACAAGTTTTCCGTCGTAAGTCTCTTGAAGGTCTGGCCATTTCTGTTTTAGGTCCACTTCTAGTTGAGGGTGATTTAAGCCGGTAGCAAATCGATCGCGCAATTGACGTTGAAACATTGTGTCCTTGTAGCCACAATCGCTGGCGAGTTTCTTTAGCCTGTTAGCATACTGTTCCATAGTCTCGTTGTGGTCTCGTACGCAACTCCAAAATTCAGTTAGTGCTTTATACCTCGTAACTTTAGTTCGATGTAAATCGAGTAGTTTAGACTTAATGTCATTGTAGGAACTGTTTCCAAAGTTAGGAACGAGTGCTATTTTTAGGTCGTGAAATATCTCAGGAGACATACATGAAAATAATAATTCTTTCCTTGTGTCATTATCACTTACGGCCCATATGTCACATTTGGCTTCGAAAAAATCTAAAAATTTTTCTACCGATACAGTCGCAGGGTTAAAAGTGTCGCATTTGAAACTTTTAATAATTGTGTACTTGTTGCTGCTTGCCGAGCTGGTAGGTTCCGTGCCAGGTGTTGCTGGCGTGGGGAGCTCCACTGCTGGTCGTTGCTGCAACACAAGTTGTTGCAAAATGTCCGAAATCTGTTGTTGCTGATTTTTTTGTAATTGTAGAAATTCTTGGAATTGTTCCTTATTCATTTTGTTTGGTTACTCCTCGTCGCCAATGAAATAAACTAATATTAACATAATCCAAGCATTTTTATTATATGCAGAAGACATTTACAGTGTCAATTATATCCATAGATCTACCAACCATAGTGTATATATATATATAACAACCGACGCGTTGTATGAATGAAGTATTCGGTTCGGCGGCGGGCGGGGCGGGTCAACCGAGCTAGCTCGAGTTCACTCGTTATGGGAGTAACTTGAGTTAACCGAATTAAATAAGTCGACTCGTCCATCGCTAAGTTCTATCAGGCGCGGCGCTCCGATCGTACGCACGTGCACGCTTCCATATTGTGTATGCGTAGTGAAAATGGCGACGCCAGAAATTGACAAATTTATTTTTAAACAAAACATCTTCGAATATAAAGTCACTAAGTTTTATCTTAGAAAAATTTCTGGCGTTGCCATTTTCTCTGCACATACACAATCAGCGATGGATGAGTCGTGTTATTTAACTCGGTTAACTCGAGTTACTTCTATAACGAGTCGACTCAAGTTACTTTTTCATGAACTCGAGCTAACTCGGTTGACCCGTCCCGCCCGCTGCCGAACCGAATACTTTCATATATTCAAACAGCGCGTCGGCTATTCGTTCTCAATCGGTCTGTGCGGCGACCTTCTGGGCACGCTCGACTCGCGGTTGGTCGGCCGATTGTGCCCAATTCGGTGAATCGTCGGTTCGAGTTTTACTCGCGACTCGCGGTTGCTCTATCAGACACCGAGTTAACTCGAGTTAGGAGTCACGCCATCTCGAGTAACTCGAGTTGACAAAAATACAACTTGTCCCATCGCTATACACAATACAGAAGCGTGCGCGTACGTACGACCTGAGCGCCTGATCGAACGAACTGAACGCCGCTTATATGTACTCTAGTTAATGGGTTGCTGACTCGTGTTGATTCGACTTGGTATGGCACGGCGTGTCGCGAGTAGAACTCGTACTCGAAGGTCGTCGAATCGACCGAGTGATAACAAGTAGCCGACGCGCTCAAATCGAGCCGAGCTAGCTCGAGTTCTTAAAATAGTAAAGTAGCTCGAGTTGACCCGTTGTGGGAGTAACTCGTGGTGGTAACTCGAGTTAAACGAATTTACTCGTCCATCGCTAGTTGACTCGTTGTGGAAGTAACTCGACTCGCCTATCGCTGATCTCTAGTGCAAGCAAACAAGCTGTTTGATTGGCGTTTTGCCTGTGACATTTTCTGCTCCGTTTGTTTGTTGTCAGATTTGTATTTATGTTTTTCGGATGTAGTGATTTTCCTTTAGGTGATTTAAAGCGGTCATTAATTTGTCGAAAATGACCGGTTTACCGCCACGAAGCAAGGCTCCGTTGTTCACAAAGAATACAAAGCCAGGTGCAACACCACTGCAAATACTGCTACAGATGGGTTTTCCAAAACATCGAGCGTAAGTTTTTATCTACTGCTTCTTTCAATGACTATAACAAATATTCAGAAATAGTTTCTTCTACTCTACTACTTTGTTTCGTTACCAATATAGAAATAAATTTATTTTTGTCCAAGCTGTCTCTAGCTCTTGAACATTTCACTACCGGCGGCGAGAGGACTCAAGACTATTCGTTTATTTGAAATCTGAGCAAAATCGGCGGCTACCTTTCAAATTAGTTTTGCTTTGCCATAAGCCTTTGTTAATTAAAAAGCACTTACTTGTATATCACTTTCAATGTAGGTACTGAAAGTGAAACACCTTATTCATTTACGTTGATGTAGAAGAAAAGATGTCATCAATTTGTGTTGGTAATACATGCCATTTTATAGTACTTTTGTAGACTATTAAATTTCAGATTAAAAGCCCTTGGAGCAACAGGTCATCGCAGTGTCCAGCTGGCTTCTGATTGGTTGCTGACTCATGTTAATGACATCTCCCTGGATACAGATGAACCTCGGGAATATATCTTCTATGCTAGCCCCACGGGTACCCTGCTGTCACAGCTATTGGAGTTTTGGGAGAAGTCAAAAACTACATCTGGCTGGAATGGTGCTCATAATTACTCACCACACGTCACTTTGGTCTCATTTTTTAAGGTGTGAAAGGATTTAGGACAGAAAAAATATGACCAATTTTTAACATTACGATGTAATAAGATTAATATAATTTATAAAATTAAATTCAATTTAGAATTTAATTATTAGTTTTTTAAATTATATCATCGAATGTTGCTAGACAGGGTAATTAATTTTAAAAATAAATGTTCTCAGGCTCCAGATGAAACAGCCTTACAACTGGCAAAAGCAGTAAAGCAAGCTGTTGAAGGTGTTGGAGACCCTCCCACTTGTCCCCTGAGATTGGAGCCCTATGTGTCTCATAACTTCATGGGGTTGTTTGTGTCAGAGGAACATGCTGATTACTTGAAGAGGATTGCTGTGCAATATGTCAAACTAGTATCTTCTCCTTGTAAGTACCTACAATAAATAAAGGATCTCAAATTTATGACACAGCTGAACTTCTGTCTAATTTGATTATATTGCATTTATTTATGTATTTTTATTTGAAAATGGTATATTTCTATGCCACATCTCTGTAGCATAGATACAAAGTGTGTCTTTCTCTATCATAATGAAGTCTTATAAGAAGTGATAGCACTAAAGTGAATTTTTTATTTTGACTAAAACACACAGGACCGGATACATCCAGGCAGGTCATAAGTTTACACAAATTATTATTTATTTTTCTATTTTATGATCTGGTACAGTGGGTGTTTCATTGGATACAAATAAACAATTAGAGTCTCTTGACTCATGGTTTCCTTGGTGTGCAGCGCAACAAGCAAAATCTGTAAAATGTAAGAATATTAACAACACTGTATCAATATTATTTGTCACTAATTTGCTTTTAATTTTTTATTGATTTTGTAGAGCATGTAGACTTAACGGAGTTTGATTAGTAGGTAAGATATTTTTATTTATTTATATACATTTTTGTTATCAAATTTTGTTCCTTGTTTTATTTTATTGTTTATTGTTCTGTTGTTTTAGTCACTATTGAACTAGAATAAATTTTTTACTAGATACTGGTGGTAGAGTAGGTAGATGGTAATTAAGTGCAAGTTTTTTTGCAATGAAGGTCGGCGTTGTAGCCCATTCTTTAAACACACTGTAACTGATATAATGGCACTATAGTCATTATTATGTTGAAACAGCTATGCATGTGGAGCCACAATTGAAGTCGCTGCACATTACACTGGCATACCACTTTGAAATGGAGGCATATGAACGGTTGAAAGACCTTGTGGATGACATGCAACCACTTGATAACTCCTACTTTGAACTGAGGCTCTACTCGCGAGACCCGCGCTTTATTCGTCATCAGGTGAGATCATATTATAAAAAAATTGTCACAAATTTGTGGGAGTCACACGCTACATTTATCAATCCGGATCACATTAAGGTGGTCTCAAAAAATTTTATGTCCATGCAATGAAAGTAAAAGAGACATTGTGTACTTCGCTTAGGTATGGATGACGCGATTCGATACAATCGGCTTAATGCGATATGTGTGGTAAAACATGATCGGCTCAAGTTCATTGCGCGTTGATAGTCTGGTGACTCCTTAAATATGTGCAATCTCCCGTGATGAAACAAGGATTGCTTATGGCTCGAACAACTATTACTAGGACTATTGGTATAGGGATAATACCTTCCATATGATTGACGCCACGTGGTGTCCTAAAAGGTTCACATCACACATCACACACGTCACACATTACACACGTCACACATCAGAAATATTGATAGAGATTAAATTATTAGTCAAGAGGTTTCCTCCTTTGTGTACCATAGACTGTAGTGGCCTTTTTTAGTGCTGATTAAGATGTTATTCAAGACATTATTTGTGCCATTAGGTCTACAAAGTAACTCAAAGTTACACTCCGAAAGCAAGCGACGAAATAGAATTAGTGGTTGGGGACTATATTTACATAGAACAAAAGGAGTTCGATAATACGTCAGACGGCTGGGTGTACGGAACTTCTTGGCTTACAGGTGAGGAACTATGCATTACACAAATGGATTAAATTTTAGTTCGTAGAGTTGTAGTTTAACTGCCTCCGTGGCCGAACGGTTACCATGCCGGACTGCCACGCAGAGGTCCTAGGTTCGATTCCCGGGCCGGGAGAAATATTTGTATGGCCTACATTTATTTCTCTCGTGAGTTTGGGAGTAATTTGTGTTTGTCTATGTATGTGTCCATGCCACCCGCGACACAGGGTTTCCCTAGTGCGGGGCTATGTTGAGTGTGTGCGTTATTATTATTATTATTATAGTTATAGCAATAATGATGAAAAATTAAATGTATCACCAAGTATTTTCTTGATCCATAAAAGGAAATTTTGCTCTGAAATTAATATACCTGTACCTATCGGATTACTTTTTATTTATTTACAATAGGCGGTTGCCACACTCATCGACCCGGAATCGCATCAAGCTGCCCAGAAAAAGCTTTATGGTCATGTTCATAGAGCGAAAAAGACGTAGTGCGTTCCGCGTTGAGGGACGGTCCGTGCGAAGAGAGATACGCAGCCACTTGACTTTACTTCCATATTCTTCTCTTAATGTGTTATCGTCTATTATTTACGTCTTAAAAGAGTGTGGCGCGAGGCTAAGTCGCTCGTACTTATTCTGGACTAATTAAGGTAGACGAGCGAAAATAAGGTAGTTAGTATCTCTATCACGTGTTCCAATAGTCTAACACGTGTTTCGCTAAGAATCACAACGATGCTTGTTAAGGCTTGAACAGTCGCGAATGACTTTGACGATTTGACCTCTAAGCATTAGAGCATAACAATTTCATACGCCATCTATCGACTACGCGCTTGTACTTACACAAAGTCAAATAAAGATAAGTTGTAAACTAGAATACAGACGTGTCGTAAGCTTGGAGGATAGAAAAAAAAATAAAAGAAAGGAGCTGCCCCAACTACAGAATGAACGTGGATACCTAAACAAAAATTGAACGAACAAATGGCGGATTTCTTTAGTGTCGTACCATAATCTATCGATAAGTCATCATCGACATGCAAACATTTATTTAAAATAGATCAATATTCCCTTTGGGAATATTTTAGGTTATATGGGAATATCCATGTCACATGAAATTTTGAATTTATTGTTTTGCGTTTACAAATACTCAAATATTGCGAAAAGTAAATTTGCACAGAAAAATGTAATTTGAGAGTATACAAAAAAAGAGAAAACTTTGAAATATAAATCCTGTACATTCCCAACCTCAAGGTTCATATTTTCATACAGAAATGTTTAAACAGATTCCAAATAGTATAAGCTTTTTTGTATTTATGCATTGGTATAGAATTAATATCAGTGACTGATTTAAGTGAATCTTTAATACTTCCATTTAATTGTGGATATAAATGAAAGTAGTAATATTATCATTAATAATATTATTATCATACGTTTATTTGCATAAAACATGGTATAACAGGAGATGTAACATGAGACAGTGTTAGTATAAACACGTTTCGCATATATTAAATAGCATGCAAATGTCTGATTATACAATGTCTATCGACTACTACTGGCCGAGCGCCTTTGATCTGTGTAGAATAATCAACACTTCTCCGAAGTGAGACAAATAGTCACGAGCGACTGCGAGTTGTGGCAAACCACGTCAAACGAGCTCTATACACGTAAGCGCTCGCCTTCGCTCGGTCAGCTAGGCGAGTGACACAGAACGATGGCAAGGCAAGGCAAATAGGTTGTCTATACGTTGGTATTGGCTTTCACCCGGCAACGTTGGACCAACATGGTCATTGTATTGCTGGCTTTATAAAATAAGAATTTTTAGTAGTTAAAGTTGTCAGTGGGAAAAAATCGGAAACGAGTGGATAATTTTGTTTTCAGGAACTGAGAATGCCTAGTAAATGAGTCGTGTTTAATCTAAATTAAATATAAAATATTTACCAATAAACCTAATGATGGAATTGCATTATCATGTAATCTAGTTACATTCAAAGTTATGTTAATATTTGACTTCAAAATGAAGCGAATAAAGATGGTCTTTGATTCAATGTTTATATTCGGCACTATTATACGGCGGTATGATTTCTAACCATTGTTTTTTCTTTTTTGATTTGTAGGTAAACTTGAAATAGTAAAAATAATAATAATAAAATAATTGAAACCTCGTAGTGAATTATTTTAATAACAGAATATCGATAATATGTACGCTTCCAAGAACAACACTATCTCAAAATAATCGTTAACAACAATTATCAAACCACCAAACAACAAACAAAACAAACAGACAATCTGAAGAAACCAAAGCAAAATTTGGCAAGATTTATGAATAAACTACTTAAATATGTCTAATTACATGAGATATTTGGGCTTTTGTGTGATTTATAGACAGAAAAATAACACGTGCCTGTACAATACAAAATTCGGTCGATCTTCGTTTTTTTAAATGTCACATCCCGTAATGCTGCAGCATCGAATTTTTATTAATACTCAATTGTTCTCACTGTCAATATTTTTGTCCATTTTATTACAATACATGCGAATAATTCAATAAAAAACTTGGAAAAACATTTGTTTTGACATTTGATATACTTCCATTTGATAACCGTGTCATGTACCTCATGTACTGCGAAATGGACACGGTTAGCATTTAAGATGACGTTACGTATTTTCGATTCCCGTGTTTAACACAGACCAGTGTAATGCTATCTCTTTTGGCTTAAGACGGCACGCAATAGTTAAACAAAGACAATAACATGTTTATGTTTTCAACGTCGAAATGCATCATATACATATAACGTCTGATTTATATATGTCAACATAACATGTCCTTTAGTTTCCATAGTCTAAGGTCATAAGTGTTTTTTTTGCAATCTATACCTTTATACCAATCTATACATTGTTGTTCCCTCAGAGACATTCGAGAATAAACCATCGTAAAAATAAACATTACATAATATTTTAGGGTCAATATCGTAACAGCATAAATAGAGAAAGTATTAGATAAATCATGCAATGATTCGATCGTTACATTTTTTTTAATATATAATATACACACGCTTGGCCACAATCTCGCCTGATGTTAAGCGACGATGGGACGCGTTTACCTAAAAAATACCAATTCACTCGAGCCTTGAATAGCCCGAAATTGTACTTTTCGGGAAATACAGATAGAGCAGTAGAGCATTACATTCCTTTGCATCAGAAAGAAGGAACCAAAGCGCTTAGTACGAATAGGTGGAATAACAACGACATAAGAATAGAGTGCTCCGGACCTTCTAGTCGACCGAAGCAGGAACGGTGAGGGTGGAACTAAATTGAAAAGTTCCTGCGCACAAATGTATCCGATAGAAAACCGACAAGCAGGCTTCTTTTCTGCGATGGGCGAGATTTTGTAGCTTCGACTCCACAAGATAATTGTTATTAATTAGCCTTTTTGCTTTTCGCTCCACCGAGTTAGTTGCCTTGGAGCTAACTGGTAATGGACAGACCCGTCCACAGTGGCAACAGTACTCCATACACCCACGTATGGCTAGTTTTCTGGCAGCAGTTTTTGCCAAGCACTCGATGTATCGCCTAAACTTGAAGTTGGATGATAAGTCCAGACCAAATAGCTCAAGGTGGTTTCTTATCGGCACGGATGCATCTCGGAAAGTCGGAGTAAGGTGTAGGGGACTCCGTTTTGATGTGAAAAGACACACCTGTGTTTTAGCTGCATTAAACCTGACCCTGTTCGCATCTCCCCAGTCGGAAGCCGCTTTCAGGCTCAGGTTCAACCGGGTGACCATCGCCTCTCGTTTACATCGGATCTCTTCGTTGTAGTCTCGGGTGTCTGGCATATAACTCTCTATCACTGTGCTGTCGTCTGTGTACCCAAAGATACCGGGCATCAGCAGCAGGTCGTTGATATGCAGCAAGAATAGAGTGGCGGAGAGTATAGATCCCTGAGGTACACCAGCATTTGTACCATGAGGAGCAGAGGAGTAACCATCTACAACTACACGGATTGACCTATCCTTCAGAAAATCGCACAACTAATGAAGAATTGAAAGTAAAATTCAGAAATGATCAGTTCAGAAAGTGTCAGAACTCTTGGTATCACCAAGAGTTCTGATTTATTCATTATCAATAATCAACCAAAAATCAATATCAGCTCTCCACCCTGGATTGCGGGAGGGAGGGAGGGAGGGAGAGAGAGTATTAATTATTAATTTGTGATTATTAACAGATAGACAGACATATAAAATGGTTGTAATTCGACCCCTCCGACGTCAAAAATCGTATGTCGAAATTGCCAAGTTTACAGGGAAGCGTTTTACAGTTCTGAATTCACTGAAACGAACATAACACGTGACTTTAGCATTTCTCAGTTTTATTCGGCAAAGCTCATTACTCACATAGAGTATTATAAAATCCTAGATATCGGTTAGATGATCTATGGTGATCACTCTTTCAGTGAATTCAGAACTTGAAAACGCTCCCCTGTAAACTTGGCCATTTCGACATACGATACTTTACGTAGGAGGGGTCGAATGAACTATTATGTAAAAGGCGGCGTTGGAATTTTTTTCTTGAAAAGGGGTCCATAGTAGTCTATAATAATGGGAACCCATGGGTTACACTTAATGACGTGGAATCGACTAGAGACGCTCATGTTATAGTACACTTGTCGCATTAAGTCGATTCGCCGTCGACGCGGACGTTTGTGCGTCGATGTAGCCGTTCGGGCTAGTGATGAAAGAGACTTAGAGCCGTATTCTAGAACTCTACTCAATGCTCAAGTCAGGACTTGAGCAGACTTGAGTATGATTTCAAGCACTGGAAATACGACCCTAATGGCAAGGACTTGAGTATGATTTCCACTGCTTGAAATCATACTCGTCCTGACTTGAGCATTGAGTAGAGTTCTGGAATACGATCCTCAGTCCTTTAAGGCCTTTTAAAAACCTTGACAAATTTTTAACACCTCACGTCTAGTCTAATCTTGAGTCATAAGACTAAAACTGAAGACTAATTCGAGTCAAAGTCTTTTAACCCTGGGAAGTTAAAAAGATATACAGGACTAAAACGGCTGGCGCCTTATAGCGTCAGGAGTCGTCGGCGCTGTACGGGCGCGAGCGGAAATTCGTTTACGGCATTAGAGGGGAAATTACTGTCAAATAAGTAGTACGCGATCAAGTCAAAACACAATATCACGTATGGAGCTTCATTCGCATCATACGTCTTTTAATTTGGTCGAGTATTACTCATTAGACAGTAATTGTTTCGGACTGATGTCGGACGGAGAACGGGAGTAGATCCCCTGAGTCGTTGCCACTCATCGAGCTGTGTTGTACGGGCCAATGACATCTTTTTCGCTCTTTTCCGACTGATTGCGATTCCGTGTCGATGAGTGGTCACTCCATAAACAGTGGCTATCACTACTATAAACATCTAGTCAAAGATTATTTTGGTACCATATGACGTTATACGTGTAAAATGCAACTTCGTAATTTTGTATTATATTTTTTGTATATTTTGTATTATATATTACTTAAATAAGAGTTTTGTATGGTTCAAATGTGAAAGTTTCGCGTTTATTATAAATATCATTTATATTGGATTTGTAAATAACATTGATATGCTGCTTCGATTGCGACAAAAAACCACAATATAGAATTCACCATCATAAGGCTTCCGACACATTTAATAGAAAAAACGAGGGGGAATTACGTGTACATAATTTCGGTAGATCGTGACAAGTGTAATTCAAAGCAATTCAAATCACTACATGTATTGCGAGAAGAAAACGTTCCCTTCAATCGAGCGAAATTAAGTTGTGGTATTGCCACTACGTATGTAAATGTCCTAAGAGTTTCTGATAACTTGGTCCTTCTCTGCATCTTATACAACATACTCGATTAAAATACTCTAATCAGGGTTAAAAAAAATGTGAATTACTACTTCCAGGCGTAAGCGGTTTCCTACCAGGCGTGTACACGAAGCGTACGGCGGAATCAGACGCGTGGACGCTACACCGAGCTATATCGTTAAACAACTATAAGTATTGTGAGTAATTAAGGCTTAGATACACTTGGGGGCAAATGGAGCGACATGTGGCACAACATAGCGTTCAACATCTACGTGAAATGTCCCGGGGACAATACCTCGGAACATTTTGTAGGCCTACCCCTAAATACACTTGCCAGTGTTTATAGAAATGTCGCCCGGGAGGTTGTGGCGATTAGTGCTGCGTACATAGTTATTTCGGGTAGTTTACGGAAACGTACGTGTCCAAGTCGCCGAAAGTTGTCGTTCCCTTGATCAAAAACTTCATTGCGCCGTACGCAAACCATGCACTGGATTTTACATCATCTCGTCCGTTACCAGTACTTTTAGAAGAGTTTATTTTCTTCTTTTCGCGAAGAAACTGTGAACGTAGTGTATGCACTTTGGCTTCTACTTCTTTCCTAGGTAATTTAAGCGCCATGTCAATATCCTACCACGTGTCATTTTTCTTTATTTTATTTCGATAATAACTGCGATGTTAGGTTCGAATTGCAAATCGGACACAAGGACAAATACAGTCGGAGAAACGGCAGAAGGCAACAAAGGAGGAAAACATTCGAACAAAGATTTGGGACACGAAACTACGCAGGAATCTTTCAGGGAATGGACCAAATATTGGGAGACAGTGCGATTGAACAAAATTGCCGGAATTCTCGATGTCGCACATGGTAAGAATATTTATATAGTAATGATTCTTAGAGATGATTTTATGTTTTGTAATGATGATGTTTTATTATGAGAATGATGAATTTATGTTATATAAGTAGGATCATTATTCTTATTTTTCTCATATATTCACTCTACTGAGTACGACAATGGTAAGTAAACTTTATTGTGTCATCATCATCAACTCGTCCATACTTACTGTGGGGCAATCAGGCGAGGGTTTAGGCCATAGTCCATCGTGCTGGCCCAATTTAGGTTGAGGTTTTGACACGTTTTCCGAGTGTTGTGAACCTTCTTTCGCGTTCAGGTTTCATCAGAATGTTTTCTTTCACTGAAAGCTCATGGTAAATTTCAACTTAAATTTCGCACATAAATTCCGAGAAACTCGAGATGCGAGCCCGTATTCGAACCCAGGGCCTCTGCTGGAGAAGCAGTAGGTTAAACCATTAGGTTACCATGGGTATTATTTATGACGTAATAAAAATTTTCATTTTTATTTCAATCCCAATTTTCTTATTGTGCACGTTGCTCATAAATTATACAATAGATATCAAGTGAAATACAGGAAATACACTTAAGTGTATGTCATGATGGCTCCAGGAATAAATAAGAACGTCACCCGGTTAGCGCCATTGAAGTATTTAGTTTTCTTCTCGTTTATAGCGCATCACAGTCATTGGGACTATGATGACGAAGATGATGATGACGACGACGATGACGATGACTACGATACGGACTATAAATCTAAAGGCACCAATACGGCAAGTATCATTTCCTGTTGCGCAAATTGTTGCTAGTGAGTAGAAACTCATCAGAATATTTTTTTTTTTTTTTTTTTTGTGACTCGGCAAAATGACTGCACCGCGCCTGATGGAAAGTGCGAATACAGGCCAAATGCTTCTTCACACTACGTTTGAAGGACCCGATGTTATAGAGGGGAGGGAATACATGCGCCGGGAGTTGGTTCCACAATTTGATGGTTCGGCATAAGAACGAATTGCCAAACTTTTTAGTGCGGGACGGTATTGAACTGACCGTCCAACTGTGGCAACGCAGTCCGGCACGGGTGGTCCGCTGATGGATAGGAGAGGAAGGGATAAGGTTGAATAACTCTTCAGAGCACTCACCGTGGTACAGGCGATAGAATACGCTAAGAGACGCTATATCTCTGCGAAGCTGTAACGACTCCGCATGCTCAGTTACATGAGGATCGTTGACAACACGGAAGGCGTAGCGCTGCAGTCCATCTAGGGCATCGAGCAAGTACTTGGCAGAGCCGTCCCAAAGGTGCGAACAGTACTCCATGCTGCTTCGGACCTGAGCTTTATACAACAGGTATCGCAGCTCTGGAGTAAAAAATCGGTGCACCTTGTTCAGGATGCCAAGCTTGCGCGACGCGGTACAGATGACGCTCTCTATATAGTCTTTGTTGCTCATGTCCTTCCGGATGCTCATCCCAGGCAGGCTGAGCTTGTCCTGCAGCGTCAGCGTTGTACCCTGAAGATGGGGAAGTGGAAGGAATGGGGATTTTTTGGAACTGAACGCGCATACCTGGGTTTTCTTGGCGTTGAACTCAACCAAGTTTCGGGAGCCCCACGACGATATATGTTCCAAAACATGATTGAGCTCAGCGACAAGTTTTTCCCGGTTTCTCTCAGGGTCCTCCCGGTTGCTTGACGGTTGCTTATAATAGCAACCGTGTACTGTGCTATCATCTGCATAGCAATGAATGTTGCCAAAAGGCAACAAGTCATTGATATGCAGAAGGAACAGCGTGGGCGACAGCACGGAGCCCTGTGGCACCCCAGCATTAACTGTCACGAGCCGCGAAGTGCCTCCGTCAACAAGGACACGCAATCATCGCTCGCGCAGAAAGCCGGAGATCCACTCACAAAGGCGGCCGGGAAGACCATATGCCGGAAGCTTGGAGAGGAGACCACGGTGCCAGACCCGATCAAAGGCCTTAGCAATATCCAGACTTATCGCTAAGGTTTCGCCCTGTTTGTCGATAGCTTCACCCCAGAGATGCATTAGATACGCTAGAACGTCACCCGTTGATCGGTTCGGCCGAAACCCGTACTGTCGATCATTAAGAATGGAGTGACGTTCCAGGTGCCGGATTATCTGGATATTTAGAATCCGCTCCATCACTTTGCAGAGCACTGAAGTGACAGCTATTGGGCGATAGTTTGTCGTATCAGACCGATCTCCTTTCTTGGGGATAGGTTGCACGTTGGCCTCCCTCCAAGCTAGGGGCACGTTACCAGATTGGTATGAGAGGCGGTATAAGCGCGTCAGTACGGGAGACAACTCCGCCGCACACCTTTTAAAGACGATAGGAGGTATCCCATCTGGACCATAGGCCTTCCGCACGTCAAGAGTCTGTAGTTCCTTGCGGACATCACATTGCCTGATAACTATATCAGGCATTGTGACTCCGCAGTGGGGAATTGACGGCGGTTGCGCATCTTGGTCGTGAATGCGCGAGTTAGCCCCAAAAAGGTCGGCCAATAAATTGGCTTTCTCTTCGGGGCCATAGGCCAAAAATCCATTGGGACACCACAAAGGCGGCAGCGACGAACGACAAAAATTGGACTGCACGGCTTTGGCCAGGCTCCAGTAGGCACGGCTACCGGTGGGATGGGCTACCAGCTTCTGGCCAATCCGTGAAACGCGCTGGGCATCCGCTCTTATGTAAGCCCTCCTGCAAGACTTGGTTGCTTTGTTATAGGCTGCTTTAAGGGACGCAAGGTTGGGATCCTTTGTTACACGACCCTTGATCCAACCACGATATGCAGCCTGTTTCTCACTAACAGCGTCCATGCATCCGCGATTGAACCAAGGGCGTCCTCTGCGATTGGCGATGACACTGGAAGACGGTATGTAGTAATTCATAGCCGTTCCAATCTCATCGACAACAGCATCGGCAGCTGCTGAGGCATCCCTTCCCGCAAAGCAGTGCTGCAACCAAGGGATGGACGCAAAGTAGTCGCGCATACCATCCCAATCCGCCGACGAGTAGTGCCAAATGCGACGAGTGACCTCCTTCAGCTTAGTTGGAGGCATTTGGGAAACCTTACACCCAACCAAACAGTGATCAGAACTTCCCAGGGGGGCGCTGACTGATACTGTATAGTAGGTAGGGTGACTCGCGAGCAGAAGGTCAAGCAAAGAGGGTGCATGATCCGATATGTCTGGAACCCGGGTGGGCTGGGTTACCAGTTGGGTCAAGTCATGCGTGAGAGCGAAAGCGTGGGCAGTTCTTCCTGCATGGTCAGTCTTGAGGGAACTTAACCATGATTCATGGTGAGCATTAAAGTCCCCCAACACGACCATCTCCGCAGATGGGAACTGCGCCTGCGCGTCAAGAGTCGCCTGGCTCAGTTGGTCAAAGAGCCTAGTTGTCTCCGCATCCCCGCTGTGGGATCTATATAAGCACGCGAAGACTCTAGCTGAATAACTAGATTCTACGAGCACCCACATAGTGGAAAAGGAGGGGTCCTCCAGGCAGCGCAGACGGCGACAGCACACATCCGAACGAATATATACACATACCCCGGCTTTGGCCTGAAAGTTTTCCTCAAGCGAGTAGCCGGGGTAGTTCAAGTAGCTCATATCATTCGGACGGCGAATCTGCGTCTCCGTCAGGAAAAGCAGGGCAGGCCGGGCTGTCTCGAGGTGATGGTGGACAGCTTTGAGGTTGGAGTGGAGTCCGCGGGTGTTAGCGAACTCAATAATAAACGCGGTGGGGGGATTAGGCACCGCTGAACGATCTGCATTCTTATGTTGCGCTGTCATGGTGGGTAAGAAGGACGGTAGTGTGAAGAGATGAAGCCTTCGGCACTGCACCGAAGAAGAAAAACGAGGGGAACTGCAATACATGCCGTTGATCTTTTGAAGGATAGCCGGCTGACCCGCCGAACGGAAGGGCCCCCGTACCCCCCCGGGATATGCCGCCGGGACCCCAAATTCCGGTCACTAACCGGCACGACGACCTACCCCAAGATTATGCGCGGCATGGTGGGGCAGCCTCTAGGGGTAGTTAGTCCCTATTGGGCCCCTGTACTGTACCGCGGGCGGCCAGCGGACAACCGTTTCTACGGGTCTCCCTGGCCGGCAGGTCAACTAGATATATAATATATCAGTGATAAAGATTCTTAATAGATAGAAAGGACCAGGAGAAGACCAGGAGACTAGGGTCTCCACTAGAGCAGTGTCCACGCAAGCCATACTTGGCTATTTGGATAGAGTGAATCCACGTTAAGGACAGCAGCTGCTAGTAGATTTCCCCAATAAGCCCAATCATGCAGAATACAAGATGGCTTGCTACTAATAGCAAGTAAGCAAGGACATAGTGCTTGGTGAAGCGATAACGGTCATAGCGTGTGTTTCCTATGCATACTAAAATGCCATTGCTATTCGTTCACTTTTGAAATGTGGGCAAACTGATGAAAATATGTATTCATGGCCGTATCAACTATCTATGGGCCAATTCTAAGGACATGCACGCGATACTATTTTTGAGCTCATTACAACCCAATATTTACATTTAGACGCTCGCCATTGTACATAATGCAAGCTTCACGATCTCAAGGTCCGAAAGTAACCAGCCTTTAAATAAGTAATTATAGTTAATAGAACGGTACGTTTTGCATAATACTGACCCTTCAGCCTACTGGAGAGGTTAGAAAAGTAATGTAATAGGGCAAAAGTAGTGTAAAAAGTGTGGGAAAAGTGGTGTAACTTGTAATCAATCTCTTAAGTGATTGTGAGTAATCAAAGGTGCTTGTGAGTCAACCTTACTGGAATAAAACCATTGTTATTATTATTATTAATGTTATTATTAATTTATATTTATTAATATTATTATTAATTAACTTACATAATATATCATAATAATACTTATCCTATGTGTAGTCCCACTGCTAGGCACAGGCCTCCTCTCGCAATGCTTACATGAGAACTTAAAACAAAAACCAAAATCAATAACATTCCAGTTCGAGCTAAGTACGCGCTACATAATGAAAATAACAGAAATATCCGACCGGATCGAAGGAATTTTTTCTGAGTGTTCGATCTTTGTATTAATAATTAATTATAACAGAAATATATTATTCTTTTTTTTTATAATATCAGTGACGGGACGAACAAGTCGTGCGCCTGATGGTAAGCTACACGCCTGTCCATAACAGTTGTAGTGCCACTCAGAGCTTTAAATAGCAAAGATCTGAGGGGCACTGCCACTGCTCCCGTCACCCTGAGACAAGAGTTGACAAATCCCATGTGCCTGTAATTTCACCAGCACTCGTCCCTACCTCTCAAAACCGGAACACAGCAATGCTGAAATTACTGCTTGGCGGCAGAAATAGGTAAGGTGGCAGTACTTCCCATGACTAACTCTTTCACAAGGAGCTCTACTGCTACGTATATTTGTTACAAACAGGCAGTTCGGAGTTCACCGGTTTTCAATTAAACATAATTAGATAGTTTTATTAGTATAAAAGCCAAATCTTTATTTCAGCATGAGTGTCATAAATCGTGTGTTTATCTGTACATTTCTTTGTAATTACTTAACAGAAAGACATAAAATATACTAAGGATAGGCGATATATTTTCACAATGAGGCACGGGGAAAGAGTAGACCTCACGTATGGACACTGGACGAGCCACTGCTTCGATGCTAAAGATAATTACTCTAGGATGGATTTGAACATGCCTCTTACTTTGCCGAAGCGGTGAGTTTTTTGTTCATATTTTGACATTTTTGTTTTATATTACTGCAGTGCGTGTGTCTGTTACCACTTAGCGTAACTGTTGCACTTTCCTCAATGCAACGATTTTGATGCTGTTTCCTGTGTATAATTGTGTCAGTAAAGGTATCTTATTGATGATCTGCACGTACTTTTGGAGAATAGTAATAGTTCATTAGACAACCATACTAATTACCTGCTCTCAAACTAGGGAATTTCCTGTAGTATGAATACTGATACAGAACATCCAGGCCAGAACCAATTCAGAAAAGTTTGTTCCAAATTGGTCCTACCGGGAATCCAACCCGGGACCTCGGAGTCCAACATCCACAGTCCAAACCGTTGGGTCACCGAGGTCCTCTTAACTAGAATATACTTGATATACATTAATTTAGTGCAATAATTAAGAATTAACGAAATAAGAATTTATCTTTACTTGTGCATCGACTTAAGACAATTTTTATGTCTATTAACCTCCACGTGGCAGCAGTAGTTAATTATTTCAACTGACGGCCTAAAGTACGAGGTCTATATTGTCGAGGCATCAGTTTCTGCACATTATGCAACTCTGTTAAATTACACCAGTAATTAATGTCTAATTGTTTGAAGGGTTTTTTTAAAATTTTTGTGGAATCAGATTCGGGGGCAGATTAGCGTACTCTAAAGACTGCCCATTGACGCGAGTTGGGCGTCTCCAGGCATACCTTGTGGGAGAGGGCCTTAGGTTAGCCAAAATCAACGTCAAGCATGTTTACGCTTCGGCAGCGCTACGTTGCGTCGAGACTGCACAAGAGTTCTTAGAAGGTTAGACTTGTGTACATTCATTCATTCTGTTTACTACATAGCAAAGTGTAATAAGTACTACGAACAATATGGCCATAGTAGAATAAGAACAAGCAGGGCAATTCCCGCCTGTTTGACGCATCAACAACTACCCTCCACGGTATGCTTAGTTGTCACATTAGTATTTTAGTTGTACTTACAGTAAAGTATTTATCACAGTGTTTTCGCGCTGTATTTAAATAAACCTTCGTCAAATGCAATACGTACGTATTGATATTTTTATACCAGCTTTGGTATCTCGATCACGGGAGTATGGTTACTAAGTAGCAATGAAATGCGAGTTTGAATATACATATAAAATGTAATGATTTATTTATAAATCAAAAACATTATATATTTCCCACTAAAAATATTTTCGTCGATTAGGTACGATCTACTGTGTCGTCTTATTTTATAGATATTTATAAAATAAGACGACATCTGACATTGAAATAAACATTAAGAAGAAACAGACTTGTTTGTTTGTGAATATTTGGCAAATAATAATCAAAATATTGTCCCAGACATACTAAAAAGACGAAAAAGGGAAGGAGTGGGGGAGAGGGAAGAAGAGAAGGGAGGGAAAAATGGCGTTAAAATGTGCAGGCTGCTTGCAGAAAATTTGTAACAGGGAATATCTTGCATGCTGCCTATTTAAAGATAAATACGATTTGCTGTGTGCAAATGTTTCTATCCAGAGATTCCTAAACACTATTCCAGAGGCTTGTTAGCGGACTCGAGCTGGGTGACCAGAAGCTCACGCAGCTACTGAGGCGAATGAGAGAACTGGGCGGACCATACGCAACGGACGATGCGCTAAAGGTGCTGTGCATGAATCAATTACCGATCCACATGCGCGCCGTGCTAGCTGTCAACACCGAATCGTCTCTGGATACTCTAGCTGTCATGGCAGACAAGATGAGGGAACATACAGAGCCACCAACCATCGCGCGATCCATCGCCCATTCACACCGGCCAGCGCAATGTCAAGCACCATCACGCCATCGCCAACCCACTAGTCACCAATGACCGCAAACGTGCACTTCGACGTAATCTCCAAGCAACTAGAACGTTTAACTTTCGAGATTGCTGAGCTACGTAGAACGAGAGACACTTCTTGACACCGTGAACCTTACAACACACGGCGCCGTTCACGATCACGGTCATCCGCCAGGCGTAGCTCTAACATGGAAAATGGCGAGTGGCTATGTTATTACCATCATCGTTTTGGCGACCGAGCACGACGCTGCGAATCACCATGTGAAAAACGGAAGCAGGTGGAAAACTAAATTCTACACCGACTGTGGCGGGAATCGATGTAGCCAACAGAAGCAACCGCTTATGTGTCATCGACGTGGACAGCAGAGAACGCTTTCTCGTCGACACAGGAGCCGACATATCCGTGTTAGCCGTACGGAATAAGAAGCAATCGACATCAAGCGCCTACAAATTATACGCTGCGAATAATACGCCGATAAGAACATATGGAGAAAAAACATTGACAGTAACCCTTTGACTTCGACGCTGTTTCCGCTGGACTTTCATCGTTGCCGAGGTGAAGACTTCAATTCTGGCAGCAATTTTTTACGCCACAACAAGGTCCTGGTCGACCGGCATCAAAGAAAACTCGTCGATCGCGTCACTGAGCTTAGCATCACAGCGAGGAATAATTGCTCAGCGTCTAAGTCAGGCGTTTACATGACTGACCGCAATCACGTGTACCACGACATTTTGAAGCAATATCCAGACGTTCTGCGACCCATGTCACTAAAGAGCCCGACGAAGCACCAGGTGGTCCATCACATCGACACAACGGGGGCGCCACTATATGCTAGACCACGCCCTCTTCCATCGGACAAGTACCAAGCTGCGAAAGTCGAGTTTGAACGCGTGATGGATATGGGAATATGCCGTCCATCGAAGAGTCCACGGGCCAACCCGCTCCATGTTATTAAGAAGAAAGACGGCAGTCTACGTGTATGCGGGGACTACAGAAGACTAAATGCAGTAACGCAACCCGACAGATACCCAATACCACGAATTCAGGACTTCACGTATCAACTTCATGGCAAAAAAATATTTTCCAAACTGGACTTGAAGATGGCTTACTACTGGATTCCCATATCGAGTGAAGACGCAGAAAAGACAGCAATTATAACACCGTTCGGGCTGTTCGAATTCAACTGCATGACGTTTGGCTTACGTAACGCGAGTCAAACGAGCGCTTCATGCACGAAGTACTACGAGGTTTTAATTGCTGCTTCACCTTCGTCGACGACGTCCTCGTGTTCTCCGAAAATGAAGAACAGCACAAACTGCACATTCAAGAAATACTCGAACGTCTCAACAACTACGGTGTTACATTGAATATAAGCAAATGCGAGTTTGGAAAAACAAAAATCAACTTCCTCGGTTATGAAGTATCAGCAGCCGGCATAAAACCCACTGACGAGAGAACAGAAGCCATATCAAATTACCCGAAACCATCCAACAACTCAGACGCTTCCTGGGCATGTTGAACTTCTACAGAGACTGCCTACCCCATCAAGCCGAACTGCAAAACTGAATTAAATTAGTTCCTGCACAACAAAAAGAAGAACCACAATAAAATCCCTGCACTTTCTAATGGCTGTGCCCTGACACCTAGAACCGAGGATGTAGAATCTAATCAATCCCAAGTCCTTGACCTATTGCTAATTAAAAGTAATGTCTTAAAACCCACGTTACCTCTTTGAATAAATTTTTTAATGAATCTCCGAATGAAAATGGATTCCAGGATAATACAATGGAAATCTCGGAGTATAGTTCCTAAAAAAAGTGACTTGATTTACATTATTAATAAATATAACCCTTTAGTTATAGCTCTATCAGAAACTTGGCTGAAACCAGATTTTAATTTTAAAATTTCTGGCTTTTTTTGTTAACGTGATCACAGATCTGACGGATATGGCGGTGTTGCCATTCTCGTCAAAATTTCTATTCCATTTTCCTGTATACTATTTTTTTCTCGAAATTTTGATAATATTAATATTGTAGGTATTTGTATTAAAATACTTATATTGTTTCCATTTACCTTTCTCGTCCCTCTGATTCGGTTTTCAATGAAATTAATAACATTTTAATTAGTCTTCGACGACAATTTTTGGTTCTTGAAGATTTTAATTACCACCATCGTTCGTGGGGCAGTAGAGTGACTAATAGTGCTGAGGAATCTTTACTAGAAATGTTAGATACCCTTAACCTCTGTGTGTTAAATACTGGTGCTCCAACTCGAGGCACGAACCCCAACGAAACATTAACGTTGTTGACTTGGCTATTTGTACTTCGTCTTTGGCTTCTTCATGTCTTGGTCTCCCCTTCCTTACTCTTTTGGCAGTGATCATTTCCCTTTGATTATGTCGACTCCTATTACAAAAAAAGCTGCTCCTAGACGTAAGCCTCGTTGATTGGCCTACATTTAAAACTATGATTGAACGTAAAATTTCTAAACTTCCAAATAATGTCGCTGGCATAGAATCTGAAAAAGCTGTGGAATTTGCAAAGTTCGTAATAGATGTAGCAGATCAATTGTTTCCCATTAAGGATACTTCTTCGAGGAAGATTCCTTTTCCACCGTGGTGGGATGTTCAATGTGTTGAAGCTGTATGTAGGAGGAAAATGGTAGAGAGAGAGTATGCTCAGGATATGTTTGATGAAAACTTAAAAATTTAACAAGATACTATCAAATCCACTTACGAATTACTCCGTGAGAAAAAACAACAAGCTTGGAAGACATTTTGTACAGTGCTATCTCCGAATACCTCCCCATCATTAATTTGGCGTAACACAAAACGTTTCAGATCTGCATTTAATGATCAGACATGTACTACTCTTTCATCATCCATAACAGACTACTTCTTCGACCTGTTGACTCCGCCTTCTGTCCCTGAGGGAGAGCTGTTGCTTTCTTCTAATGCTGTAACCAATTCAATTGATTCCTATATGGATTCTCCCTTCTCTATTTTTGAGTTAAAAGGAGTTCTTTCATCCGTCAAAAATTCTGCCACGGGAGAAGATATTATACCACACTCCTTTGTATCACATTTAAGTGACCCTTGATTAGAATATTATTTAAATTTAATTAACAACATTTCATGGAAATCTCAAGAAGTTCTACCTATTTCAAAACCTAACAAGTCCTCCGACGATGTAGCATCGTACAGACCTATAGCTCTGTCGTCTGTGTTATGCAAGATATCAGAACACCTTGTTAAAAATCGTCTTGAGAGGTTTATTGAGAATAATCGAAAGTTGACTGACAGCCAGTTTGGATTTCGGAAGGGAAAAAGTACATTAGACAGTATCAGTATTCTAACCACTGATATCCGAATAGCCTTCTCCTGCAACAAGTGCGTTGTAGCAGCTTTTTTAGATATATCAGCTGCTTATGATAACGCCATAATATCCATCCTTATACCAGGGACCAGGTTGTCTTCATACCCATCAGGGAGTAAAGCATTCTGGTCGCTCGCTAAATAGGTCGAGGTGAATTTCTGCAGGTCATTCCTTTCGCCTTTAATGAGTGAAGACGGGTCGCTGGCTCACACCGCTGAAGAGAAAGTAAATCTATTTGTTTCTCTCTTTGTTTCCAACTCCAACTTTAACGCTGCTTTGCAAACACTACTTCGCTGTTACTCTGAAATGCCGGAGGTCACTATCTGTCAAAAAGAGGTGTTGAAAACTATATTCAAATTAGACGTCAACAAAGCCACTAGCCTTGGCGCGATCCCAGGGATTGTGCTGCGGAACTGTGCACTCGAGTTGTTTCCGATATAAACTCGCCTGTATCGCCTCTCTATGAATTCTGGACAAGTCCCGAAAACTTATGGAATTATGTGTTCCTTTTACTCTGATCAACTTCATTATTAATCTTCTAGCCGAAAGAGTTATATCACTAATATCCCATGATTCAAAAATTTCCCGCACTGTATATAAAGGCTTACCCCAACAACATAACATTTACGTACGAGTAAATGATTTAGAATCGTCCATTAATGGTAATACTGTTAATATTTTACAATATGCTTGACTACAATAGACTTGTTGCGATGCTCTATAGATGAAAACTTAGATAATTCTTGCAATATTTTAAAACACTCTCTGACTTTGCTAAGAGAGTGGTTGGACGGAAACGGGCTTGAACTATCAATTGCTAAAAGTGATGTGGTAGTTTTTTCAAGAATGCGATCAATCCCCCTGTAACTGTAAAGTATAATAATTTACCCTTTAAAAATCATGCCAAATTTTTGGGTTTTAGATAGTAAACTGACCGGTCTTCCTCACTTTGAGTTTATAAGTTCTAAATGTAAAAAACTCTTAAATGTGATGAGATATCTATCAGGAGTGTGGTGGGCTTCCATTCTGTCTGAAACTTCTTTATAATGCAGTGATTAGAAGTGTGGTAGATTATGGCACGTTGCTACCAGTAGGAGGTAATTTTGCAGGAATTAAAAAATTGGACTCTATTCAGTCAAAGGCTCTTAGAATTGTGACAGGTGCCATGAAATCTAGCCTGATCATTGCTCTACAAGTGGAAAAGCGACCCTCCACTCCATCTTAGAAGACAATTTTTGAGTGACAGATTTCTCATAAGGGCTATGCAATTTTCAAACCATCAGCTCTTTCTTAAACTTCATACTTTAAATGATTTTATTCTTTCATCTCGTTATTGGACTCATAAAACTATTCCAAGCCTTGTTCAAACACGTGTTCATCGATCTCCTTCTCTAGCACTGTTCATGTCTGATTTCGAGTCGTTATTAATAGTCTCAAATATGTATTATAACGTAGGTATTGAGAAAAGTGATATTGAGGTTAATACTCAATTTAATTTTAGTGTCAATGAAAATTGGAGCAAGTGGCATCACATATACACTGATGCGTCGAAAATGTCCAGTGACCAATGTGTAGGAGTTGGGGTAATACACAAACAATACGAAATAATACAACAGGTTAAGCTTCCCCCCGAGACTTCCGTGTTTACAGATGAATGTTTCGGTCTATAGGGCAGTAGAATATATAGTTATAGGTAATTTGAGTAAAACTATTGTTTTTTCAGACTCAAAAAGTGTTTTGCCAACCCTTGAGAAATTTCCTATTAAAATGAAACCCTGATGTGGGGGACCTAGATCACATCTTTTTCTCTTGTTCCCAATTTGACCGTTCCTTCTTCCTCCAACAACTCCTATCTTTACATGTTCCTTTACCTACACGTGTGTCATGCCTTCTTATGTATCCTATTGTCTATTATAATTTATTACATTCATTTATTATTATAAATATTTTTTGAAATTTAGTCCTTTTATTTATTTTGTGTAATTTATGTGTATATTTCAAATGATAATAATAATAATAATAATAATAATAACAACGCACACACTCAACATAGCCCCGCACTAGGGAAACCCTGTGTCGCGGGTGCCATGGACACATACATAGACAAACACAAATTACACCCAAACTCACGAGAGAAATAAATGTAGGCCATACAAATATTTCTCCCGGCCCGGGAATCGAACCCAGGACCTCTGCGTGTCAGTCCGGCATGGTAACCGTTCGGCCACGGAGGCAGTTAAGATAATATTTCTTATATGTATTAATTCCTTCCAAACTTAGTTCTCCTGATCATGTTTTCTTTCCTTATTGGTCTTCCTTCCGTCCGTTTCCTAACCTTTTACTTTGACGTTGGCACAAAGTATTCTAATGCCATTAAAAAAAGACTGTCGTTTGTATTTTCATGATCGTGTCTCGTTTTGAAAACTGAGTCGGTATTACGTGAACATTTTCGGTCCATGATTTTTTACGATATTCGATGTGACTCAAGTCAACAAGAATGACAAGGTGACGAAACCTGAGTGTACTGCTTTGAACCTGAAAGAAAAAGTCAGTCCGCAGAATGGGTTCCTTTTCTTTTGAAGATTTATTTTGCATACACTAGACAGGATGTGTGAAAAAGATAAAACACCTCAGCAAAGTTAAATGACCAGCAGCTTGATTTTGATTGCCTCTCCCGATCGGAAACTGCGTCTCATCCGATTCGAGGCGCATAATTGCGATTCACAACTGACCGACCGGAAACTTTGACACTTCAAATCCTAACAATAGTTGATTACTATTATTACTATTTAAGACACAAATTAGAAAGTAGGAATCAGGTTCATCTTCTCGCTCAAAGAACCCATCTGATTTCGAGACTACCCGATCGGTTCGATTCCGACATGAATCAAAATCAGCACGCTTATCTGCAACATCCAATTCTTAGTGCAAACTCCAGTGTAATATGAGTTTTTGGGAGCTCCTCATCTACTGCTAACAGCTGGGAACTAAAGTCGTTAAATAAACAAATAAATAAAAATGATATAATTTACTTCTCAAGTTCAGTACCTACTGAACCCATCGATTATTGTTCCTCTTGATACCTATCAAGCGGAACGAGAATTATGAATTCTTTAGGCGCTCTTGTTCAAACAACCATAAACACGTCTAACATTTGACGTCATTTTTTAAACACCGAACGACTCGCGCTAAACACTCTTACAAAATGCGATTGTGTACGTTCGTAATCGGCGCGTGCTAGCGGGCAAACATATAAGACGCGCAGATACTTATTATATGGAGTTGCCATACTTGTTTTTATTCTACTATGGTATGACTGTTATTAATTTATTGTCCTAAATGCACGTCCTTCGATTGATTTAAAATTTTGAAGAAATATTCGATAAGAAAGTCATATATGACGAGATTTTCCACTCTTGATTTGGAAGTCATTGGTGCTTATAAAAAATAGAATTTCTTAGTGGGTCTTTCTTACCGTCTTATCAATTGTTTCCACTAGGGCAGCATACAGGTTAAAAAGTTGGCACGTGGGTACGCACGTGTCCCTTTTTTCCTCGCTTATATCGTTGTCCTGTATGTATGGAAATCGCTTCCAGTTTGTTCCTTCCAGTTAGATCCTTTGTATACATTGAGTAGGCTATTTGGCAAGTATTAACTGAAAAACATAAATTGATGGTCAAATGTAAAGGTAGAATATAAATTAATTGAAAAATAAAATATTTATAGGCATTCAGAAATCAGGCTGTAGATAGAAATGGTAACACTTGTTTGTGACATTGGAGTACATTATAATTGTCAATTTGCTAAAAAGATGGAGTATTCCCCACCTCTCACTTTCATCGCCCGAATTTCTGATTTCTCATCACGACTGAATAAAATAAAGTCGACTTGAAACAATTGCTGCTAATTTATTTTTTTTAATGCGAAAAACTGTCGCAGCCCTAAAATAATTCCTTGATTTCAGGTCATAGAGCACACGACACGGTGAAAATAAAAGTCGAGCCAGGCCTATTTGAGTATAAAATGTGGCATGAGTCCAAAGGGTTGGCCCCGTTCATGACTCCGAAGGAATTTTACCTGGGCGGTTACAATGTTGACATCAAGTAGGTAATTCTGATAATTTGAGACAAAATTAAGATACATGCATTTTAGGGTCCAAAATAAATCGTCGTACTCGCAGAACAAAGATGGATCTGAAATTCAACAACTTTACAGTAGAGCACTTCAAAGATTTTTTATGAGGTTTTATGTCATATTTTTAAAACGGCTAGTTCTATCTGTTTCAAATTTGGACATATTACTGTATATAGACTTTTACAAAATGACGTACAAAAAAGTCCCTAATATATCTAGATTTTGTCAAGTCACATGCGTCATTGTTCCACGGGCTCTAATGTGACGTATGTTATAATACGACGTTATTGAACAGAGTTTAATTGTATAATACATGGCATATTATAATATCCGCTGATATTTTAGGGAATATGTATCGAACTATTTGACGTATTTCAAATTGATGAATCGGAAAACAACAATTTTATATCGATTACAAGTTTTATATTAAAAAAATAACGCACATAAAATTGTTTACCATATCGTATAAATAGGTAATGTTTGTAGTAGTAAATGTCTCTTTTACATATAAAGTTAAATAGCATCTTTTTAAGATGTAATCGGTACAAAATATGAAACAAATCAAAACAGCCTTAATTTTCTTTTTTATCTATTAATTTATAACTAAAATTTATCGGAAATCAACAGCAATAACAACAATAAGTTTTGCAAACAGAAATATACTATCAAAATCAAATGCTGTATCAAACGTTAAAAAGATAAGTACTTACTTAATCTCTCAATCATTAATAATTTATGCATTTAATGATTTTTTTAAATTAATGTAAATGGTACTTGGTGCAACGGGCTGGTATCCGCAACTCGACGACAAAGCGCATATTTTGCGTGTCATGTAAATGGTAACTAGGAACATTGATTATGATAATATTAGGGGTTAAAGTATGAAATTGCCGTTTTATTGCAATAGGTTCTTTGAATTTTCATAGAATCTTCATGGTTTGAGGTTTTCGAATGAAACTTTTTTCAAATGGTTTCTGTGATTTTTTTTTTTTAAATTTGAAACATTTGAATATCGACTTTCAATTGTTTTTGTTATTCAATTTAGACAAGAAAGATGGATACTGCGAAAATTCGAGTGATTTTTGAATACGAGTTCCGACGCGGAACTAACGCGGCAGAAACAGCCCGCAATATCAATGCTGCGTTTGGAGAGGGGTCTACTAATGAACGCACCGTGCGATTTTAGTTTAAACGCTTTCGTGATGGAAATTTCGACTTAAAGAACGAGCCACGAGGAAGACCGCCCACACAGGTGAATAACGATGAATTAAGAGAGATAGTGAAAGCCGATCCTAGTCAAACTACCCAGGAATTAGCGGCATGGTTTAACGTTACCTTACCCACAATATTGACTCACTTGCGTCAAATCAATAAAATAAAAAAATACGAAAAATGGGTGCCTCATGATTTGACTGATCTGCAGAAAGAAACGCGTGTTGAAACTTGTGTTGCCTTGTTGAACCGGTACAGAAATGAAGGAATATTGGATCGAATTGTAACATGTGATGAAAAGTGGATTCTTTATGATAACCGGAAAAGAAAAATGCAATGGCTGACCCCAGGTCAAATGCCACAACAGTGTCGCCTAAAGCAAAACTTACCAATAAAAAGGTAATGGTAACTGTTTGGTGGTCTCAGCATGGTGTTATTCACTATAGTTTTCTCCGATCTGGTCAAGCAATAACGGCAGATGTCTATTGTGCCGAACTCCGAACCATGTTGACAAAACTAGCAGTAAAACAGCCCCGACTCATGAATCGATCTTCACCATTATTGCTCCACGACAACGCGAGATCTCACACAGCACGAGAAACCATTTTGACCCTTCAGGAACTGCAGTTAGAAACCATTCGTCATCCTCCGTATTCACCAGACCTTGCTCCAACGGACTACCATTTTTTTCGTGATTTGGACAATTATCTACGTGACAAGAAGTTTTCTTCCCAGGAGGCAGTACAAAATGCTTTCACACAGTTTGTGCAGTCTAGATCGTCGGAGTTCTATCGCAAAGGCATTAATAACCTTCCCATTAGATGGCAGCAATGTATAGATAATAATGGCAACTATTTTGATTAAATAAATTTGTTAAAAATTTAAAAAATAAACAATTTAGATTTTCAGTACAAATCGGCAATTTCATACTTTAACCCCTATTATTCTAATACGTTACTCTTAGAGTATCTAAGTACTTATCCATTTTACCTTAATAATAATATATTTAAAATTTTTTGTATATTTTTTCATGAGATCAATTTATTTACCTTTTGTACGTACAAAATTAAGAAGATTCGGACTATCTCGTATTAATTAAACGTTCAAATTCATCAATGGAAATGGCAATCGGCTCAAAATCATCATTTTAGTGCACTAGCGTAAGCGCGTTTGCGTACTGCATCTGATTCGTATTCGTTCCGAATCCGGGACTATACAAATCTAGAAAATTCGGACCCATTTCCAATGTCGCTTATCCACAAAGTCCGATTCGAATCCGAGAAATTCTCGCTATCGCTATTACACCTAGAGATAAAATGACACTTCGGACGCCTGTGACATTTCGGACCGTCATTTCTCAGATTCGGAACTGATACGAATCGAACGTAGTGCGCAAACGCTCTTATGGTTCCTTGTTTCCTTGTGAACAACCAAAGTCATACAATCATCGACTAAGCTATAGTGTAGAATATTTTGGCAGAGCGTATATCCTCAACCATAACCTCGTTCCCCTACTTTTTCAATTATAGAGTATACATACACCCAGAATGAGTGTGACTCAGTTACGATCATGACGAACACAGACTTGTTTCTATGTACATTGTAACTGATCATAATCTGAATTAATGCACATTTTTATGTCTGGATTTTTTAAAAATAAAATTGTACATATAGACAACTAGCTATCTCACTCACATAGGAGCACGCTTTGCTACACTCTCATCCTATACGTAACCTAATCATGTCATATATGTATAGTAAAATTATAAGAAGACAATTTGGGTCTGTAGTAGAGTACGCTTATTTGACCATGACAACAGGAAAGAACCTTTTGAAAGTCATATGTCACATGTGAGATGGTGCTATTTGACTGGTTGGCCTCTCACAGTTCTTATGTCTAGCAACAGTTTTATTTGTTAGATGCCTTTCATAGTCTATTTTCAATTATTGTTCAGAGGGGTTTTCGGTGTTTATGAACATGTAACATTAGTCACACGTATCTTTCTTCGGTATGTGAAAAGTCAGATTAAATTGGTTATTCACAAAATCTCAGTACTGGCGAACTCAATAAGTTACGTGGGTAATTCATTGAAAATGGGAGTTAACGATATCGAGAAGTCACGGTTGGGATGAGCATTTACTGATTGCAGGCAGTCCATCATGGAAACTAGTGTCAATGCGTCTGTAGCTGTATATAAAGATCTTCTGTAACGGCATCACAGGGATTATTCCACTTGTCTGTTTGGCTATCATTGATATTGGGCAGTGAAACGCTATGGACAGGCGTATCGCTTACTAACAGGCAAACGAGCACGACTGTTCGTCCCGTCACTTGGTATCACAAAAACGTGGCGACGGCCAATGCAAATTCCTGGCAATGATTATCAGAAAAAACATAACTCCATAAATCACACATATTTTGCTCACATAATAATTATTCTATTCCTGATGATACACGAACATTGTTCCGTTGCTAAAATATCTAGAAACTCCAATTTATTGTAGGTAGGCAAATCAATACCTAAATAATATTATGACCGTATTATAAACATACAAACTATTATGTTGCATTTCTGCTAAAATGCGGGGTAACTAAGGTAATGTTGCGGAACAATGACGTATTACAAAGTCTATCCGAAGAATAACGACAATTGTGTCCATCCGACTACCGCTGATCCGTAAAAAAATGACGGATTGTACCAAACGTCTTCGATCAATGCTTAGAACAAAGTCGCATTTTATTTTCCGTCACCATAATCACCTTTAAAAATCAACGAATAATGAAAGGTGTTACGTCACTGTAAAAACTAACAACTTCATTCCAAAGGTATTCACATGAAAAACAGGGTACAGGAAACTACTTGTCTCAGATTTTCAAGAACAACGACGGATGTGACAGATCGTCGTTTTTCACCGACAGTGTATATTTCCATCCAGTTTACTTTAAAAGTGTACGTAAAATTAAAACTATTATGATAATAATTGCTACAACTCCATACTTAATACAACTGGTATGATGTTCTTCTGTTTTGTTTGAGTCTATTTCATTATAAAGCATTTTATTTGCTTTTCATTAGCATTTTGAATACCTTGTAAAATGTTATTGTTATTACATTTTAGTATCTTCTTGACCTCATCAACGCCATAATTAATTTTAATTACAGAAATATGGTTATAAAAAGTATTACCAATCTCAAATTATAACTAACTTGATGAACGCTAGCGCGCCGCACCGTGCAACCTAGAACAGTGACGATTTGAATGATCCGTCGCGCGGGGAAGTGTTGCGGGGGGCAGTGGTCATCGCCTTACACTGACGGTACTATTCATACGATTCATACGATTTTGCTGCGTTCAAAAATCAAATCCATCAGTATTCCAACTCTGTATCTTGGCTGTTATAAATAAAAAATGAAAATAAGTTTTATTTATCGATTCCATAAGATAATATAAGTAGATTAATGGCATAAAACGAAAATTTAAAAAAGTCACAACCGTCTTTGTTCTACGACTATGACGAAATATAACAAAAAAAAACTAAACAGATAATATTGAGTTCTTTGATTTTCGCTATTGGTACACATAGGAAATGAAACTATTTTTTCGGATCTCAGTCGCGCAAAAATTAAAAATAAGGTAAATACCTTATTTTTAATTTTTGCTTTTTTTTTTTTAATTTAATTATTAATAACTTTTGTTGCTATAGTAAATAAATAGGGTGATTTGCATTAATATTAGACATAACTGGTTGACGACTTTACCATCTCAGCCGTGACCATTGCACCTGTAAAGGGCCCGAAACATCGGTTTGTTTCAAAAACCACATATGCGCGGTTTTGATCCGAAATCGGAAGAAAATTTCATTATTAATATAATAAATTAATATTCATCTCTATTGAGAGGTTTTGTGAAATAACTCCACTAGTTTTTATGATGATTATGAATACAAAGATCGAACACACAGAAAAATCTCGTCAACCCGGTGGGTCTTGAACCCATGACCATGCTGCACCGTAGCATTACTCTAACCATCTGAGCCACGAATGAAGTTACAGAGTCGTCGAAATTCTCCTATGTGTTTTTGTTATACATCTTTGTACTGACCTGTCGGCTATCGTCGCCGCTAGTGACATCTAGTGAGATATTTTTTGGATAAGCTTCTCACCACAGCCGATACCTTTACTGACGTATCGGCTGCGGTGAGGTTATACAAAAATCTCATAATCAGATAATATTAATTGTGTTTGCATTACTGTGCCAACCTTAGGCACACTTTTCTAAGAATGAAAATGTATTGTTTAAACCATGTTTCAGTTACAAGCCGTATGTTGACTTAAATGTAGCGACTCCAGAGACTATGCAAGATTTCTACGATAGATGCGCATTAGTTATGCAGTCCGCCTATAAGGATACCCAGAAAGTTGGTAAGTTTGATGCGATTTCGCACATGCAATATTTTTAGCATCGGTAATTTAGTCGCTGTTTTCATTCTCGTTGTAGCGACTGAATGGTTGTTTTACATTAGAAGACACGATCTGTTACCGTTAATGTAATAGAAGTTAAACTAAATGATATTACAGGGTTATTTGTAAAATACTGACAACCTCACAGGACTATATTATTGTTATTCTAAAACTAAAAGTAATCTTTCAACTTTTTGTTGTACTATTTCATATTTTAAACATTTGTATTTTGTAGTAAGGTTGTAAGTTCAAATATACAAGCGCCATCCCTGACGACCTGCACCCCCACTCCTGCGTTTGCCATTGTCCCGCACAGAGTCATAGCCATGAAGCGTGTGTGTGTATGTGTGTGTGCGTCGGGTAATTGTCATGCTGGAATATCCAAATTACCGGGACATTGTCATCAGCGTGCGGTAGCATACGTTCTTCAAGGTTGTGTTTTTCTATTGGTCCATATTACCTTGTACCAGCCTAGTAGGCCCTACGCCATAACCAGAAAAGCAACCCCAAGTCTTAATGTTTCCACCACCGTGTTTCACCGTCTTTTTCGTATATTTTGCATTAAATGCCATATTCTTAGGTCGGCGTACGTACTGCTTACCATCAGAGCATAGTCACGCATTTTAGTTTCATCCTAGAAAAGTACATATTTCCACTGCGCCTCTGTCCAGTGTTCATACTTCCTTGCAAACGCAAGTTGGGCCTGTGTATGTCGTGGTGTCAACATCGGCACCTTCCTTGTTACTCTCCTAAATAAGTGTGCCTCCACCAAACGTCTTCGAACGGTGCGTGCAGATACTGCGCGAGGATTGTTCTCACCAAAAACTTCGTTTTTTATTTGATTTGAGCCTTTGAATGGGTCCTGCTTAGCGAGATTAACTATTCTTGAATCTTCTCGTTGAGACGTTTTTCTTTCTATAGGGTTACGGGGAATATTCTTAGTTGTCTTGTGTGTTTTTAAATGTTTCACGGTTTAATACTGATACGTTTTTGAGCAATGCAAATGATCTGCAATTTTCTAATATGGCCACTTACGATTACGCAGCTTTTTTATAACTTCTCTTGTAGCAGAGTCACAAGATTTATTTTTTCCCATTATTGTCTATAAATACACTCGAGAGCAATGAATCCGGGTCACTAAAAGAATCCGAAAAATCTCGGAAACTAAAAATGCTAGGTTAATGCAATAAATTGTATTTAATAGACAATTTAATACTCCTTAAATGAAGGTATTAAAACTTTTTAGTTATTGTAAAGTTATATCATAAAGAAATCAAATATGAAAAGGGAACACTTTCGAGAACTACGAAATTACAGCATTTGTTTTTGCTTTTGTTTGTAATCTGTCATTTATGTGGGTACATAAACCATGTTGATAGTGCTTAATATTCATTATTTAAGCTGAAATCATGTCGCTTACACTTGAAGAATGCACCAGAATACTTACATTGGTGGAAACTGGCCGGAGTCAGCGCGATACAGCCAGGACTGTCGGTGTGTCGCTGTCAACAGTACAAAGAGTTCTCCGACGTTACGAAGAAACTGGTTCTAACCTACGCAGACCAGGAACGGGCAGAACTAGGTGTACCACAGCACGAGAAGACCGATACTTGGTGAACACCATGCTTCGAAATCGCTTTCTCACAGGAGCTGAACTCACAAATCAGTTTCGACGCCTCGGAGGAAGTAACCCAAGTGCACAGTAAGACGTCGGCTTGCTGAATCTAAATTAAAACCCCTTAGACCTGCAAACGGCCCTAAACTGGAGCGTGGGCATCGTATTTCAAGACTAAGATATGCCCAGAACCACGTAAATTGGAGTATTGAAGATTGGTCGAAAGTTATGTTCTCCGACGAATCAAAATTTATGCTCTACAAGCACGATGGAAGACACAGAGTGTATAGAAGACCAGGGGAAAGATTCAAGCAAGCATGCATCGAAGAAAAAGTAGCCTGCGGTGGTGGGTCTGTACTTGTGTGGGCCGGAATTTCTTCTGAAAGTCGCACAGAGCTGGTGATCATAGAAAACGGCTCTTTAACTAGCGAAAGATATGTAGATGAAATCCTCAATGAACACGTTGGTCCATTTATGGTCAATTTTGGTGAGGATGCTATATTTATGCATAACAATGCCCGACCTCATACAGGTAGGATTGTAAATGACTACCTTCAAGAGATGAACATTACTTGTATGGAGTAGCCAGCGCGCAGCCCGGATATCAACCCGATCGAGCATGCTTGGGACGAGCTAGGGAGATGCGTAAAACAACGAAACCCTCCCCCAATCACGCTTCGTGAGCTCAAAATTGCTCTCACAGAGGAATGGGAGAATATTCCCCAAAATCGTATAAGGAACTTGGTGTACAGCATGCCAAACCGCCTAAACGCAGTAATGGAAGCACGAGGAGGCAATACGAAGTATTAAAATTCAAGAAAATCGTAATAAAGTTCAAAAATTTAATGTTTCCTATTTTTGTTTTAAGGAGAGATCAGCAGTTTTTTTTCTTTATGTAATTTTGTGTAAATAAAATGTATGGTGACTCATATTTTTTTTACTCTCATTTAAGGAGTATTAAATTGTCTATTAAATACAATTTATTGCATTAACCTAGCATTCTTACTTTCCGAGATTTTTTGGATTCTTTAAGTGACCCGGATTCATTGCTCTCGAGTGTAATTGCATAAAACGTTCTTAAACCAACAATACCGCGCAAAGGACATAAAAATAGTAATGAAGAATTATCGCATTCCATTTTCAAAATACTTTTTTTTTTAAATTTATTAAGGCTTTGACAAAGCCATCAATCAGCCTAAACGTGAAGTTTAATTATGTTTCTGTAAACATGGCCGTCACAAAGAGGATAGGCAATTTGAGGCGGCGTGTTTGGATTGACTCGGGATTCCTTAAAACGGGCCGATACGGGTATTTTAGTTCGAGATTCGTATAATTTCACGTTTTAATCTTCGATTAAGGCACAATAGCACTATCCTATTTCACTTTAAACTGGAATTCACAAAATAATTGAAAGTCAAAATAAAAATGACGCTTATCCTTCCAAAAGGTCCAGAGCGAATATTTTCAAAATAATAAAAAACAAAATATTTTAGTTTTTAATTATTTGTCCAGCCAGTGTTCCGTGTAGTAACTGAGTGATTGATTGATATATACATATATATATATATATGTATATATATATGAAAACGCCCAATACTATATATAGTGGCGGTCATAGAATTAAGAACGATTAATGATACAAAGCCATTATTATTTTGCAATAACCATTAAGAAGAATTAAAAAAAATAATAATTATGCTCGGATGGTGTTAAACAATATTATCTGGATTTACCTATTTTATTTAGCGTAATAATCTTGTTTAAATTATACAAAACATATCTATCTTATGCGATTCCAATACAGCGACTTGACTTTACGCTGACATGAATATCGATCCGGTAGCAAACTTGCCGCTGTTAAAAGTATTGTGTGTGCAATGATCATAAACTGCTCTAACAAGGAACCCTTTGTACAGTCGCGTGTATCATTTTATGAAAAATGTTGACGTGGGATAGTGTGATTTTTAGTTTCGTAAAGGCCTATTCGCTAAAGCTAGAGACTCATAGAGACGAATTTGCTGTTTCGTGCAGTCTGGTCCCGTTGCTTACACGTTTTTTGTGGTCTGGGTATTTCCCCTGGGCAAAGTTTGCTTTCATGAGTGTAATCAGTTATTAAAAGGTGTGCAGTAATCAAATAAATATCCTTTATTAATATGAATAAAGAATAAAAGTTTAACAGTTGCCTTTATGAGCACGCTACTTGTATAATAACGTCGCTATTTAAATAACAGGTGCGAATTTTAAGTGAAGATTGAAGTGAGTGATTGCTTAGAGACGGCAGCATTGATCAACAAACATAGCAACATAACATAATTCTTTTAAAAATATTGTTTAGCTGGGAAACAGTCGAATGCGAATGGTAACACCTACTGTTAGATAATTTTCCGAAAAATTTCAAATAATAGAAATTTTTCCGAAAAAAAATTTAAAAAATTGGCTGATATTATGTTCTACGTTGAGATATATCTTTGAAAGTTTTATTTAGCGAGATATATAAAATAAAATTGTATAGCTAAGAGCAAGTTAGAGTAAAAAGAGATTTAAAACGTTCACAACAGCGAAAAAAAGGAATCAAAAATCTTTGTAATGGCTCCATCGTTTTTGTTCAGTATTTTAAATTTTTGACAGTTGTCAACTGTCAAATGTGGATGTTTATTGGCAAGTATATAGGCTGTAACTAAATAGTTTAGTTATATTTAAATAGGCAATTTTACCACACCCCGGACTATCCCCCCTCCACACACACACACACACACACGGTCGAAAGTTATTTACCTACTACTACTACTACATACAGTAAGGCGCCATCTACACACGTGCAAATGTGGACGTGAAGGGGCAGAGTTACCCATCGCTTTCTTCCATCATTCATCATTACGATACGTGGTCAGAACGGCAACATAGCGAAAATTCTATCGCGAATCTGTTATCTATAATTCTATTTATAGAATCCTAATAATTATACACGTTCATGAAATATTTATATGTATATCGGTACAATATTATATTTTTCATTAATTCACTACCTAGAATAATATTGAGGATTAATTTTAAAAATATATTAAAAGCATATCGAGTTCTTAGGTTTTCGCGATTGTTACACATAGGAAATGAAACTATTTTTCGGGATTTAAATCGCGTATATTCGTTTTTTCAAACAAACCTAAACGTTTCGAGCCATTTACATGTCCCATGCTCATTATGCTCATTATGTCATGCTCAGGTTGACTGAGACAGTCATCAACCAGTTATGGTTTAACAAAAAAAAAAATAGGGTGGTTTAATGCAAACCACACTTTTTCACTGTCTGCAGTCTGCAGCCTACACATTCAATGAAGTTTGACGA